CGATTACAGACTTGACGGACCCAGAGCGAAGAGGCTCCCGGCGTGGGGAGGGGGCGGGGGTGCCAGCCGTGCTCAGCATCGCCCCTCAGGCCTGCTAAATGCCGAAGCCGGTAAGTCCCGCCGGAGGCGTCCTGCCTGAAAGGGAGAATGTGCTTTCGGTCACTTCCAGGCAGAGCTTTTTGACCGCTCCTAGCTGTGGTGGCTTTCCCCTTTCTCTGTTCAAACTCTGCGAGATGCATCCTTCTTTCCTCCTTTCCCCCCACCCCGGCTCTGCGGAACCCTGAGCACTCTTCCCTAGCACGCTCGCCAGTAAGAAGACGCAGCTCCGGGGGGAGAACAGGGAACATTATTCTGAGAGTAAGGGGATTCTCAGGAGATGGAGGTTAGGAGGGTATGTATGCGGCCGGAGCTCAGCTGTCAGGAGCGGAGGCTGGACTGCAGACCCCCTGGCACGATGTAACTTTCCAGAAACCTACGAACGGTCGGGTTCCTTCCCTCCGGGGTGATGCCACTGACAGTGCGGACTGTGGAAGTGGGAGCGTCTAGGTCGGATTATGTACCCAGTTAACCAGAAACCGTTGTGTGAATTTCATAAGCAAATACATTTCCAGTTTCAGGATACATTCAGAAATACTTAAATATCTTACAGTGTTATGTGTGTGACTCCAGGGAAGATAAATGGACTTAGTCTGGCTGTTAATTGGGACAGTGTGCCGAGTGTTTGGAGCAGGGGAAGCACGCATGCGGAGTGCATTTCTACAAAAGGCACAGTCGTATGTAATCCTGTGCTCAGCATGGTCTCGAGCAGTCCCCGAAAGGGTTCTGGTTGCTTTTTGCAAAATTCAGTTTAACTTTTATCATGGGACAGTGCCCCTGTGCCTGCACGACAGTGCCATGTGGCTTTTGGAAAGCATTCGTTAGAGTGCACCATAGTTGCAGGAACTTTTATTTTTTTTAACGGGGTCCATTGACCAACCTGCAGTGACAGGCTTGAGAGTGAGGGGATGCTTTTCGTTTGCTCCGGCACACAAACTCTTCTATCATACAGATGCTATTAATTGTGTTCCTTTTTTTCTGATCATCCTTAATGTAACTGTGTTATGAAAAGTTCTCCACGCTGGCTCCGTGTCTTTCCTATTAGAACATTGCAGATGTGTCAAGGACACACATGTTCCAAAAGAAGCTGAGAAAGAAGGAGGCTCCACCCTCCTTCGCCTGCCAAGTGGGCCCCATAGTCCTCATTCAGCACCCTGGCAGGCAAATGGTGTACTATCTCTTTAAAGCAGCTATAGTTTTGTGCCTTGGCTTGGTCAATTTGTTATGGTTTAAAACGGTGGAGCCAGCTGTCTGCAATCTGATGTAATGTTGCCATGGAAACCAGAAATGAAACACTTAAGCATTCACCACAGAATTACTACATATAGCATTAGCCAAAGTAATTAAAAGTTGAGCCATATGGGCTTTCTGGTGGAAAAATCTGCAATAGAGAGGCTGGAAATCAAATGTTTCTATTTACAATAATGTAAATCCACTTTTCCACATCCTTTGGTGGAATACATTAATTGCCTTTTTCTACTAAAGTTTAGAGATGGGGAGTTTTATACTGATGATTGAGTTTTCACCTTCTCCCTTAGATGATGGTCTAACTAAAGTTTACTTTAGTCCTCTGACCTGGGGCAGGACAGGGAGAGGAGGAGATCCTGTGTCATGTTACAACGTGCATAAACATACGCTGTTATTTTTGCACTTAAGTTTATTTCAAACCTGTTTTCTAGTAGTTCTCTTTAATTTTAGGATTCTATTTCTTGGAATCCACCATTCATTTTTTTATGTTAATGCAGATTCCCTTCATCTTCTACTAGAGTTCATCCAGGTGTGAAGATAACTATTAAATGTGTGTGTCCTCACACACTTCTTAATTAAATAGTTATTTTTAAATTCTCACACCCTCATCTTTGGGGATGTAATTTCTGAATAAAAAGACATGACATTTTCAGTATTTGGGAAGTAGTGTGTGCTAATTTAAAAGAAACATGAAATGAGGAATTTAAGCTTTAGTCCCCAGTTTAAAAGAAATGCACTCCTTATACAGGGTCTTTATGTTAAAACAGCCAGAGAGAATTTCTTAAAGGCAAATATTTCACAACTCCTTTTCTTCTGGACTCAGGAGGAAATGAGAAGTCAACACCTCTCTATCAATAAAAAGAATCTTTGAGCTGCACTTAACTCCAGTGACTTCTATCATACAATGACTTCAACTCCAGGCTGATTCAAGGGAAGATTTTCTACTTTTTTTTTAAAGTACATAGATATAAATATATAACTTGATTGATTTTGGTTTTATCTCTTAACATTTTTCTTTGTATAAATTGTGCCGCATCTACCTTGTTTAGTGTCCAAATCATGATAATGAAAAGTTACTGGTTACTGTGATTTGTGATTTGCCAGTGGCAAACACCCCCAAAATCTTTTTTTTTTTTTAAAGAAAAGTAAAAATAACATTAGTTCAAAGTTCTAAAGAGCTCCTGTTTCTCAAAAATAGATGGAACATGTGAAAGCCATTAAGTACCTGGACTATGTTATTTTTCACCACGGTGGATCAGGGCAGAGGAAGGTAGGACTTGGGGAGGGGAATCTCTGCCTTTTTTTTTTTTTTTTTTTTTTTGGAATCTCTGCCTTTAATTCTGTTGTCCTGGTTTAACAATTTCATTTCTCCTGCAAAAGTTCCCTCTGATAGCATATTTCCTACATATGACTTGTCTTTGTGGAATGTGAAGGCACACACAGCACCCACCCCAGCAGCAGCAACCCCCAAGCTAGGTACAAGGCCTATATATACACACATTGTTGATTTTCATTCCGTAACATAGCCTCTTGTATCTTGATTGTAAACAACCTGTGTTTGTATCATTTTTCACTCGACTTCAGAATTTTTTATATATTTATTTATGACTTAAGAATGTTTTAATGTGAGAGTTATAAACGTGCTCTAGGTTTGTCTTACTGTAACGCTGGTTGTCCTATTATTTTTTGAGACACGTCAAGACGTTTGTCTTACTATAACGCTGGTTGTCCTATTATTTTTTGAGACACGTCAAGAGGGCAGGATCCTTTAAATGTTTGTGTATAACTCCATGCACTATAGTTTTGTTCAGGTGCTGATTACCCAGAATGAGGGTTAACGCAGTTCTCATTCCTCTGGTTGACCACTCTGACCATTTCATCACACATTAACAATTCAACCAAGTAAAAATGAAATTCAAACCAGACAATGCCCTTATGTCGCAAAAGTTATCCTTCCTATTTCATTTTAAGTGTTTACATTGTAAGTTTTAGACCAAACTAAGCCGCATTGCCAGCAGGCAGTGTATCCTCCTTCCCCCATTACCTGGGCGTTCCATTTCTGTTCTTCATTATCCAGTAAGTAGTAGTTCACTTTAATTCTGAAATGGATATGCAACATCTTATCTAGGAATTTTGGAGAAATTGAATACAGTTCACAGAAGGGAAGCCTGAGAAATCCCCCTGTCCTGATGACTTGCCATTTATGGGTTATAATAATTATTCCTCAGTGGGTGAATGGTTTGCTTATAGTCCTGCAGAGGGAAAGTACAATGACCCTATGCTAGGAGCTCCAGGCTGAGGACAGAGGCCAGGAAACGGGTTGAATTTATCCCTTACATAGTGCCACAGTGCTACAGAAATATTTGTGAACTCACAACATGCTGCACCATTTTTCTGCTTAAGTAATTTCCACAGTCTCTACTGTCTTTACTCTTGAACAGCTGTTCTCTGCTAATTCTTGTGTACCTATTTGTTGATTATGGAAAGCATTTCTTGCCAGGAAATGGCTTCATATTTAAGGCCCTTTGTTCAGAGATGTGGTTTTTGTTTTGCTTTTTGTTGTTTATCTGAGGCATTTCTGCCCTTACTATTTCTGTGACCGAGGTTTGAGGAAATGGAGAGAAGGTTGTTGCCAGGATGTGCGGGATCCACTGGGGTCGCTCCCAGGCTGCGTAGGGTGTGTGGAGGCTGCGCACTTCGGCCCATCTCTGCTCCCAGGAATGCCTGAGCACCCGGCCCCTGCAGCACGCCCCTTTAGTTGGGGATTTCTTTTGCTTTTTCACATTTTAAACAGATAAAACAGAGGAAGCTGCATATTGAATGTTAGGGCTGACTTGGAACCGAAACCCTCATTTTGTTCACAAGGAAAGGATTGTTTTCACTGGGGTCACTGCTGCAGAGAGAATTTTTTTTTCTCTCTGTAATGTTTGATACTTGAGGGAAAACAGCTGGGTTGAGCATACTTGAATCACTGCAAAATAAAATGGGATGCTGGAGAATATGCACTGTACTGTATGGCTGAAAAGGTCAGCTTTTTCCCTTGTCCCTCGTGGAGGAATGCAGGGTCTGTCCTCATGCTCGCCTTGTGAGCTCTGGGAAGGAGCTGGGAGAGGCGAAAGGCATGGCTGAGATGTGGCAGGCCCTCCGAACGAATGGGACGGCAGGCGGCTTTTTGCTTCTCTTCCCTTTTCCTGGCCTGCTGTTTTTGATTTTGGGGGAGGACTGGAACAAGTCAAGAGAACTTGGGTTTGGAGAAGTAGCTGATGACTGCGTTAAGTAGTCCTGATCGGCCAGACAGATGAGAGCCAGGCCCAAACCACAGCAGTGGGACTGGAATGACAGGGCCAGCCTTGCCGAGAGAGTCCTGTCGCAGTTCTCCTAGAGGAGGCCTGGGAAGTAATTGAGACAAATGCGTCCCACACTGGTCCAGGGCCCTGGGGTGTGTGGTGTTGCCCGGGACCTGGTTCTCCACTGCATTAGGTCCTGGGGTGCTCTGTGGGGCTTCATGAGCCCGTAGGGCCAATCGGTTGGTGCCCCGGTATTCAGCTGCACGACTGCCGAGCTTCAGACTGGCGGTGAGGCTGGGCTGCACCCAGCTGCCAGAGCAAAGCTCCAGGACAATTATCCGATTAACTTTTCCTTTGTTTCTTTGCCAGTCAAGAGAACAATCGGATGATGAGACCGAGGAGTCGGTGAAGTTTAAGAGGTTACACAAGCTGGTCAACTCCACTCGCAGAGTGAGAAAGAAACTGATCAGAGTGGAAGAAATGAGAAAGCCCAGTACTGAAGGTAAAATACAAAGCAAAACAAAACAAAGTACACTCCACCCAGCTTATTCCAAATTAAATCAGTTGAGGTCTGCTTTTCAGTAGAAAAAGAATATAATTTCAAGTGGAAAATGGGTTGCATTCCGGGTGAGGCTGGCAGCACCTTGAGTCTGCATGTGCAGGGCATTGCTTGGCACGTTATGGATCCTAGTGTCCAGCGTTCCAGGAGGCTTAGAAATTTTAATGTTACAGCGATGGGAAAAGGCTGGTATGTGACAATGACAAGTCTTCTCGAGGTGTGGCAGAGCTTTAATGTTGAGCTTACACCATTTTATATAAACTTCATTTTATAACTTCTTCGCAGCAGTAGCATCTGTGCCCAAAGGATGATGGTTCTTGCCCATTGAATTTAGTCCAGATTTGATATACATCCGTCTTAAACAAACACCCAACAATCAAGGCACTTAATATCCTTTCAGATCTCCGAGGGATGATTTGTTCTTCCAGTAAACAGTCTCAAGACTCAGTTCAGCTGGGGCTCTGAGGACCTTCCATTCTAAGTGGATCTTCAGAGCTATATTACTGGCTTAAGCTGCTTGTCAGATGAAGCAATAATGTCAGAAGGGGCATGAGCTTGGATTTATTGTACTGAATAGTTAACCTTTGAAGTGTGATTATGACAGTTTAAATCTCAACCATATTCATCACTCCTATTGTTAGCAGTGTGCATTTACAGCATCTTGTAAGAATCTCCCAAAAGGATAAGATAAAAGAATAGATTTCCTGTTTGGAAAACCATAAGTGAGCGGGGAAAAAAAATGCTGGAAAGAATAGGTCTTATTTTTAAAAAGCATATGACTTGTTAAAATGTCATATATACGTTCTGAGGAATTTCAAAATTTTAACGTACATTTGAAAATGGTCATTGAGAGGCCTTTTTGTCCTACATAAATAAAATCAATGCATAGAGAGAACTGGGATTTCCTCTGATTTACATAGATGAGGGTTTCCTGTTGTTTTTATTGCTGTTTTTAAATTTCTGTTTGCTGTAATTATTTATCAGCTTAAATCCACTAGAGAAATATTGAAGGTGAGGGGAATTACTCTGGGAGTGTGGGAGCGAGAAAGGAAAAGAGGGAGAAGGGGTAGCAAGAGAGATGTGCTTGGGGCAATTTCAGAGTTGTATTGAATTCCAGGTTTCGTTTGGGTGTCTTCTTGCATGATAGTTCTGTTTGCCTTTGGGTGCAATGCTGATTTCACATTTGGATGTTTTAACACCTGCTTGTCAGTCATGGTTTTCACAGCACATAATATAGCCTGATTTCCTCTCACTGGCAGCTCTTAATGAAATCACACACATAGTGTCAATTGGTAGATAGTAAGTAGAACCATACGGAATTGCCATCATTCAACCTTAGGCACCACATTTTAAAATAAACCTCACACTTGCCAAAATGAAATCTCAAATACAGTGAATGGATTGGTGGGTCTTGTCCACCAAAGGGCAGAGGCCCTGGTACTCTGGGCGTACCACACAGTTGCCCATGCATACATAGTTGTCATGTGCATTAGGGCCACCTTTTCACCAGACTAACATTTGTGACAATACAGAGCTACTCTGATTTGCATGTTTATGTCAAAATAAGTCAGTTCAACTATCTCTGAGAGACTTAGGTGAAAAAAGGGAAAATATACCTAGAGAGGTGGCTTTAGGGTCGAAAGTAGTAATTGTATGGACTTCTAGCCCTGAACTGTAATTCATCTGTGAATTGGGTGCCACAGATGGAAGATGGATTAAATGAGCTTGAGTCCCCATTAACCTCGGGTGTCTGATGAGTTGGGAAGCTCATGTGCCACTAATTGGGCCTGTCAGTGCTGCCAGGAGAGGTGTCAGTGTGTGCAGCTCAGGGCATCCACTTGGGGCTGTCCCTGACTGGACCGGACTAGACTAGAACTGTCCTCCAGCTGCTGTGGAGTAGAACTCTGTGAGGTTCCTCATTGGCAGAAGAACTGGTATTTGGCCACTGCTTCTGCAAAGCAGGAAAGAGTCACATTCCCAGTAACCCTCCTTCACTGCCCCGGGACCTTCAAAGAGCTGAGCCTTTCACTCACTACATGTCTATGTCAATACTAAGTTGTCTGAATAATAATTAACCTTTGCTGAGAGCATTCTGTGTGCCAGCCACTTTTCTAAACACTTTTAATATGTCATTAATATTCCTTTTAATATGTCATCCTCAGAATAGCCACCAGAGGCGGGCATTAATACTATCCTCATTTCACAAATGAGGGAACTGACGCACCAAGAGGTGAAATAATTTGCTCAAGGTCACTGAGCCGGCTGGCAGAAGGCTCAGGATTCAGTCCAGGCAACCTGGATATCCACTCTGCTCCCACCTCTAATCCACCCCTCAGCTCTGAAGTCCTGCCACAGCCAGCAGAGTTACAGTTTCTCACCTGGTCCCACTCTTGGGACCTTGAATTTCAAGTCCTTATCCAGGGCATCGATGACCCTCGATAATATTAAATCAGAGGCCAGATCATGCCCTTCATCTGCCTGTTTTTGTGTTTTTTTCCCCTAGAGCTGATACCTACCTACTCTCTTCCTTCATTGGCCCATCTTCTCTGTGACCCAATAATGAATCATTAACTTTTGTAGAGGGCTTTTTAGCTTATAAATTACCTTCATGTATTTCTTTTCATTTAATTTCGTCCTCTTAATAGCCTTACAGTAGATATTACTAAGGTAGGACGACATTATTACAGGTGAGGAAATAGACTCAGAGAGATGAAATTATTCCCAGGGTCATGGAGATGGTGAGTGGCAGAGTGAGAGCTGGAATCAGGACATAAGTCTATGTTCTTGGCTTTGAGTTATCCCATACCCTAGCTCTAGTTCCTTCCACATTCTGATTTTAGCCAATGAGGATAGGTAAAGATTATTATGTGAAGCAACCACACCACATCGATGGGGTCAGTGCGTGTTGACTGTCGTTTTCCCAAAGGATAGCTATACTTGGAGGTCCCAGAATGGGAGAAGTGCAGTGCTCTGAATCCAAGGAATTGAGTCAAGGCTGGGATTTCAGGCCTCAGGGTGGATGTAGACTGAAGAGCCTACACCATTCAAGGCCTCCCCCCAACACACAGGCCAATGCAGCCCCTGGAGAAGCATTTGCCACATTTCCCTCCAAAGTCCTTACCAAATGCAGACTTTTCAGAACCAGAACGTAGAGCTATAGATTATGGACAGGTGTGTACCAGCTGGTTCCAGACTCAAAACATGCTATGGAAGTATTGGAATCTGTGGTGATAGCCCTAAATACAGAGTCCAGGAAATTTCCAGACCACTGTGGTGACAGGTCATTAAAATCCCCAGTAGACCCACTTGAATCTCCCAAGCCCCCTTCAGACTGTAGGTAGATCAGAGCCTTGCACAACTCCGTGGACACCTGGGCTAAATGTAAAGCCACAGTCTATGGTCTGGACACTTCTATAGAGGAAGTCCAGGGCTGGACTGCCTCTGCCACCAGGCTGTGCCTCTCATCTTGGCCCTGTCACTTCTTCCCAAGACTGGAGGGTAGATTTTATCTAGAAGAGATTGCCATGTTTACTTCCACCAACAGAAGGACCCTTGGCCTCCATACCTTATTAGTCAGGTATCCTGAAGAAAGAGCAGGAGACTTTCACGGTATTTGCACATTGGCTCTGGTCTGGCGGATATCCTCTCAGAACCCTGGTCCTTGCTTTAAAACTCTCCTGAAAGATCCGAGAATAATCCTCCAGGGAATACATTTGTGCTGCAGATGACGGAGGACTTTGGACTGGACATAGTCTTGAACCTCCCTTCCCACCACCATCTCCGTGACATCAGAATCGATCTTGGGTTGTATTTCATAAGTGCGGTTCTAATTTTCTTTACATTTGTAACAATAACTCTCATCATTTAGAAAAGTAAGAAACCTTTAGAATTTGGAAGGACTGCTACCAAGTCTCTCGTCCTTCTATCTGAAGTGAGCAGTTCGCTCTGACATTTAACATGCTCTGGCACCCTCACCCCAGTTGGTATATTTAGGGCCATCCTTCTGTTCCAAGGAACTTTTTATTTTTTCCTTTTCACAGTTCAGCTGGTGGAAAGCTGCAGTGCTCAAAAGTTTCCTTATAATTAAAGGGACACAGCCAGTTAGGATCACTACACCCACAGTTTGACCTACTTCTTTTGCACATCTGTTCACATAACACACGCAGAAAAGAACTCAGTTTTCCTGCCAGTGAGTCCAAACCTTTCCACTGGGCTCCAGAGGGCTTGGCTCAATACCTTGCTCCAGGGAACGCTTCACAAGCTGGAATCCTTGAAACAAAGTGGAACGCTCTATGGGGCTGCCTACGTGTCCAGGCCCTTAAATGCCCTTACTTGCTTCCTAGCAGGGCCAGTTGATGGCAGTTTCTGCCTGGAATCACCCACTTCCCTAACTTTTCGTGTTTGGCTTGTCAACTGGGGACCATTTGTCAGTTGCACTTGCACGCTATAACCCCATATGGTGTCTTTGCACCCAAACTGCCTTGGTGATTTAATTACTTAAATGGCACATGTACCAATAAAAAAAAAAAAAAAAAACACTGTCAGCCACGTGGCATTCATCACGTTCTGACTATAAAAAAAACCAACCAGATTCAACAGGAGGGCCTTTCAGAAGGGGAAGAGATTCTGATTCCTAGCTTCTGCAGATTGCACTTACAGACTGGAGAGGATAATCATATTTTGGGGGGAGGGGTAATTATCTTTAAATGCTAACGGCTAAGGAATATGGTGATGATGACTGGCTTAGGCTTTCCAAATGGCATTTTGAATGGATTTCTTGAGGTGTTTGTTCTACAAAGATACTTAAAGAAGAAAACATAGCCAGTACCTTTTAATATTTAGCTTGTGTGAAACCGTACATTTGCACAGTTTGGTTATTTTTTACATGCATTATTTAGGCAGGAGCTGGGTTTATGAAGAGGGTAAGTGGTATGGGGAGGTGGTGATAGCTGTGGTGTCTGTGAGGTTTAGCTTATTCTTTGTAGGGCGGGTGCTGTAAGGAAAGAAAGGTCTGTAAGTCTGTGAGGGGATACAGAGGTCGATTTATAAGAGACCGTGAACATCTCTGTATTGATTTCCCTCCAGGTGGGGAGGAGCACGTGTTTGAGAATTCCCCGGTTCTGGATGAAAGGTCGGCCCTTTACTCTGGAGTGCACAAGAAGCCATTTTTCTTTGATGGCTCTCCTGAGAAACCTCCGGAAGATGATTCAGACTCTCTCACCACCTCTCCATCATCCAGCAGCCTGGATACCTGGGGGGCTGGCCGGAAATTGGTCAAAACCTTCAGCAAAGGAGAGAGCCGGGGCCTGATTAAGCCCCCCAAGAAGATGGGGACATTCTTCTCGTATCCAGAAGAAGAGAAGGCCCAGAAGGTTTCCCGCTCGCTAACTGAGGGGGAGATGAAGAAGGGTCTCGGGTCCCTGAGCCACGGGGTAAGTACGGACGGTGTTTGCTTCTATGACAGCCACCGGCGTAGGCACCACCTCCTGGTGTCCCTGGAGGAGGTTCAGAGTGTCCGGAAGCAAATCCGCTTGAAGAAAATGGATACTAATTATTCATGTTCCAGAGCTTTTCTCTGCCAGCGTCCCTCCAGAAAAGGAGTCCACAGCAGCATCTGTGACCTGCAGCTGCTCCGGCAGAAACCCAAAGGGGGAGGGAGCTGCGGCGCCCCCAGCAGGAGGGTGCGCGCGCGCCCCTCGGTCAGCGAGTTCAATATCACCTACGTGGTGGAGCGGAGCCTGTACAGCCACCTGAACCTGGCCCAGCTAGTGCGGCCTGCCTCAGACAGGACCCTGAGCAAGGCCGAGAGGCAGGACCTGAGGCGGTGCTTGCTGGAGGAGGATGAGGAGACAAGGAGGAAGTGGGCCGCCACGGTCGACCGCTGTACTAAAAGGGTTCTCTTGAGAATCCACCAGAAGTCTGTGAGTCGGAACCATTGGTCACCAGGACGGCCTTGTCATTTCTGTGAGGTGCAGTCAAGCATTATGGCCTCTCCTCGGTGGAGCCTGGCGTCCTCCCCCTCTCTTCTGCTCCTGACTTCATGACTTCCGGGTCCATTCCGCCATCACCTCAGTTTTCTAACCCTACTTTCATTTAGCAATGGCTTCTTTTCCATTTGTCCTCTTCTTGCCAGTTAAAGCTCTTTGATTTTTAATTGAAACTAAACACTGAAGATGATCCCGAGAAGGGCTTTCAGAGTACAGGGGTGGGGTTTGGCCTCCTCCTAGGAGTGGCTGTCTTGATTCTCAGCAGTCACGTCACTTAACCTCAAAGAAGCTGTTTCAAAACAAGGATATTTTGCCCTTAGAAGACGCGTTCATTCTTTCAGTTAATTAGAACAATAGAACCGGCTCACGGGAAGATGGTCATCAACACAATCACCGATTTGATGATTTGAAAACATTGTAAAGTACATTTATTTTATTAGTAGGGCCTGCCAGAAGGTTCTGGAAGGGAAAGGGGGAAAAAAAAACTTTAGAGCTCTTTTGTTTTACTTCAATCTATTTGGTAGTCTATCTAATCTTCTTAACCAGAGGGGTCGACATTTAGAAATGTCTTCCACTGCCCCATAGATTCTTCTACACATAGCAAGGAATGAAGTACTTACATTCAAAAGTATTTTTCAGTTTCATTACTGAATGGTTAGAGACCTGATAAGACCGCTTTTTAGGACATGACTTGTGTCCAACTTGAGAATATAAGCATTTTCCTCCTTAAATTTCCACCCAGCTTTTAGCTTGCCCAGGAACCCATACAAAATGACACAGAGTGGTGAGAGCTATGGGCTTCCTGGCTCCTCTGTCCCCTGGTGCCCTGCTCAGTCCACTGGGACTGCTAGCTCTGTCCCTTGAAGGGTCTAAAGGCACAAGCTCTGGTACAGCCTCCCATGGGGGCTTTTCCTGGGGTTCTTTCACATTCACTTGTGAGACGTTCTTCCCTGGACGACTGCTGTAACTTCTGTTCATGCAGTCACGTTCTGCTTCTTGTGGAAATGGAGACTGGTCCATGTCATCCCTACAATGATCTTCCCTATTCCAAAAGGATCAGCAGGTCCATCCTAGCCTTTAGTTTTTCCAGATGCTCCCACATGCGTTGACTTTCTTGCTGGAGCTTATTTTTCATCTTTTCTCATTCATACAAATCTTCTAACAATTTTTTTTTGTCTTCTAACAATTTAAAACTATTAGCAACAACTTCCCCCTCTGCTTCTTCCTCTGCATCATGGTGATAGCTTGTGGTTGATTTTGTGTTTGTCGTACAGTAACAGAATTCTCTTTTTCACTCATTCAATTCTGACTCACAGGTCCTCTGTAAAGTGCTATAGTGAATCAACCTTAGTATAATTTATTAACTTCAGAGGACCTCTTCTCAGTTCATCTGCACAGAAAGAACCTTGATTGAACAGTTAATTGGTTACTCACCCCCACGAACTTAAATCATGTCATTCTGAGAATTTTTCCACCTTCAGTACTTTGAATTCCTTATGCGTCCCTCATATTTATTGCCAGGCTAATAATATAACTTCTGCAAGACTTTTTAGAAGTTAATTTTCTAAGATTTGTGCTAAGTAAGTTGTGGGCCAGTGATCTTAATTCTTCACTGACATTAAATATGGACATAGGGCAACTTTCTTTTCAAGCACCACGCTCCCCACCCCCCCATAAACGTGGCACTGTGTAATCTCTTTCCCAGATGGCACCCAATACTGGATATTTTTAAGGTACTATGAGCCTGAAGTAGTACTGGACAGCTCTAGTACTTGCTAAAATATGTGTCCAGTACTAAATTAGAAATGTTGTTAAGTTTAACTGCACAATCAGGAAGATGAAATTTAACTTTCCAATTATTCAGAGACTATAAGTGAAAATAAGCATTTTAACAACAGAGTTTTTTGGGGTTGATTTGGTTTGGTTTTACGGGACTAATTTCTTTGCTTGGTTTACCTAAACAGTTTTTTCCATCCTTCTTGTCCTATCTCCTCCACTTTATCTGAAAGTGCACAGTTTATCCTCTACTCTCTAAACCTGATCCTTTTGTCTTTCAAAAAATGCCATATTTGCTTGATGAAACCTTAGGGAAATGATAATGCTGTATATTCACTAGAAATGGTCACGTGTCTTGCTTTTTATTTGGTCATTCAGTTTTTGTTTGGGGGAACAGGCATGCATGACATTTTGGAATCTTGTCCATTTTTAAAAGTCAACTCCCCACCCCCACCCAAAACATGTTTTCAACTGCATGACCATTCCATTGACTGGCTCTCCTCATCCACAAGCCTCTATCCCAAATGTTCTTATCGTTATCTGTACAGGAGATATAAGATCTTTAAAAAAACCTCACTTAGGTTTGAATTATGTAGACCACCAAAGTCAAAGATTGGTTTACTTTCTTTTACTATTCTCTCTATAATCTGTGTTCTCTGTTGAAGGATTGCTGTGTCAAGAACTGTTTGATATTACAGAACAAGCTGAAGATTTGCTCAAGCGACGTTTATTGTTATATTCTTTGTCTCTCCTCCACTGATAAGAGTTTGTTCCAGACACCTTAGCATATCACTGAGAGAGGTTTTAGTTGGTAGCAAAGAAACCCAGCCCACTTTTCACTCTGAGATTTTTATTCAGGAATAAATGCATACAGCTGGTGTATGAAGACATAAATGAGCTAATTTATTGCAGTAAAGTTTCCACATAAATTCTTTCTCAATTATTTCATGTGCATCAGAAAGTACATGCTGGGCTCCAGTGTTGCAGTCGATGCTGGAATTTAAAGCAGGGAAATGCAGAAGCCATAAAATGATGAGGCATCTGGGCGCCATACTAGATCTGTGACGCCCTGAGTCACAGGAAAGGAACTAGAAATAAAATCACTGCCTTTGCAAAAATGCAAAAATCTATCAGCATTATAAAGCTGGAAAGGGAAGGTAAATGTTAAAAATTAGCCTTGAGAGGTGGCCATAACATTGCTTACAAGGTTATAGGATTTGGTGTTTTTGTATAAAGCGGTCTCTTTTTATAGAATAGAATACAGTTAGGTTGAATATTACGGGAGATCAGATTGTCCATTGATATTTAGTATCAAATTAGAATTATATCAGTGGTAGATTATTTTCAACAGCAACACCAGCTTTGGTGAAAGAGAAAAAAACAGTTGTGTGAGCTCCTGATTTGGGTAATCCCGAAGTGCCTCCTGCAATACTTCTGTATCTCCAGGCCTTCAACTCTGCTATGCCATGCCTGCCATCTCTCACTTTCTGGTCCATTCCTGGGAGGCTGTGATTTTACAATGGAAGCTCCTAGAGTCTAAGGCCCAGAAAGAAGCTTCAGTCTTTCATTTGCATACTTGTAACGTTGACTAAGCCTAAAACTTCAGTATAATTGTCTGGACAAGCTACCAATTGAATCCTCAGAGCAGCCGTGATGAAAGTGAAAGCCCAGCATTCATAACACGTCTGCTACTCATGGACAAAGCAAAACTCAGAGAGTCTAAGTACTTTCCCTGTCCCACAGCACACAAGTGGCAGGATCAGAGCAATCTGTGATTCTAGAAACCTTGGCATTTTGCTTCCTGGCTGTTTCTGCTTTCTCAGTTCAGTTACTATATATCTCAAGTATATTTATTCTAAACAAGCAATGTTTATAGTATACCTTGTGCTTCTCTGTTCATTTCTTCCATTGAACAGCTGTTAACTAGATTTCTTAGAGAAACAATATAAAATACTGGAACCCAAATCTGCTCTTCAGCTTTTATCACCATTTGCTTAAAAAGTAAATCAGTTGTAACAAAAATTAATGTGCTTCGAGTCTGCCCTGCAGATTTTTTTGGGTGGGGGAGGGAGTGGCCATTGAATAACTTTTGCTGGAAAAACAGCAGAATTCAAAGCAAGTTCTGAAATATAAAATTGCTGAAATATAAGCAATTCCATAAAGTTTGAAACCAACTAAAGGACAATGAGGTTTTCATTCTTTATAACATCAGTGTTTTTCCTCCTGGGATTAAGGGAGTGTGGTCAGAGACAGTCACTGAATCAACCTTTTCTTTCTGGGCAAATGTGGTGTCTTCATACACTCCGAGTTAAAGGGTCATAATTAGTTAAGTTGGGCAGTTAGATGGGAAAGTTAGCAGCACATTTGGCAAGGTCAAGGAAGCAACGAGTGAGTAATCCTCTTGGCCTGATTGGACTACGAGGAACATAAGCTTTTTTCCCCTTCTCAGCGATTTAAAACCAAACTAAACAAGAATCTGTTAGAAAAGCCTGCTGTCAGTGGCAGAGCGATACAGGATTTCAGACTTGGGTTTCCAAGACCACTCTGAGCGCATGGATTCCCCTGGTACATACCCCCTTGTCATCACTACTCTATGTGGCTGATACAGGGGGGACTGGAAGGGGATGTTCTGTTGCTAAGCGACAGGGAATCTTAGAACACTTAACCCGTGGGTGGCTTTTTGTTGTGTGTGTGTGTGGTTTTTGTTTTTGTTTTTTAACCATTTGGTTTTTGCATGTTAAGGGGATTCTAGACCTCTAGCATAGGCCAAGTTCCAGTGACCTCTGGAAGGCAAAAGGAGGGAAATTTCCTTAAAACATGAATCATGGATTTTTTCTCATCATTTCTTATTTCCTACTTTCATCCTGTAACATATTTGTGATTCAGTGATTGTCCTGCAAGTGGGAAAATGTGTGGGGTTGGTGCACTGCTGGCTGGCTTAAACATAACTGGATTATTCCTGCCCTTCCCTTTCCTTTGCACAGAGAACCTGCAGTTTTGGAGGATTTGACTTAACGAACCGTTCTCTACACATTGGCAGCAACAATTCTGACCCAATGGTGAGTATACATCAAAGGAAAAGCAAAGAAGGTTTGGATTCAAGCAGTCTGGTTGCCATAGTTTCATATCGAGTGTCTTTGAGAAACGATAGTGTGTTACATTGGTGATCCTACGTCATATTTGGAAAGAAGCCCTGTCTTGCCCATCTTATGCTCTGCTGTTCCACGAGGAAGGAACAGTGACTGCCTTGCTGCCTGTAATGCCTTTGCTTCCTGTTCTCTTCAAGTCACAAATCCAGAGGAGGTTGGCTTCTACCATCCTAGCCATTTAAGCAACACATGCTTTTTGTTCCCACTAGTTGCAAGTGCACACAACCACTACATATAGGTAGTGTGACAGGATGGATCCCCGTGATGAGGGTCTGAGAATAGGACCCAGTCTATTTCAAAGACACCAGTCTTACCATAGGCCAAGTTCATGGCCCTATGCGAATCTAGGTTTTTCTGATCTGGGGTGTCCTAGAATGAACCCCAGTCTCCTTGGGCCCAAAGCAAACCCAACTCTTCAGAGTCAGGGTTCTAGCTGCCTCACACCTGCTTCTGGATCACTGTGGGGACAGGGTACCACTATGGTGTACATACCCTGTTCCCTAAGGTTTCTTTTGGTGAGGCTCCAAGGACATAGGTCAGTTGTACCTACAGGTTTGTTTTCCCCTTATGCATTCTGTCTCAAACTGTGAAATTAAAATTCCATGCTTTATATTTGTATATATGTCATGTGTCAGCTAAAATACCCACCTGTGATTTCTGAAGTGTTTGAGAATTTTCTAGCAGAATAACACTATTTTATTTGGATATCAAATTTTATTGATTCATAAACTATTAATTTTATGTAGTCGATCTTTAAAAAAAATGAGAGAGGAAGTATAATTTCTTTTTTTCCTTTCTCAGGGGAAAGATCCCCCCCACACACACAATGTAAAATAAAATGAGCGGTGACCACAAGTCTAACTTGTTCAGAGAAGGAAATGTACAGTTGACCACACAGAGCTCTAGAGTGATGTAAGTCCCATCAGACATGGGACTTCCAATTACTGAGATTTGCCATTTTGTTCATTATCACTGAAATGCAGTCCCCTTGGGTATCTAAAAATGAGAAAAAGTAGAAGATACTAAGGTTAAAAAAAAATGTGACCCACATGCCACTTTAAACAAATAAGCAGAGGCACCTGGGTGGCTCAGTGGTTCAGTGTCTGCCTTTGGCTCAGGTTGTGATCCCGAGGTCCTGGGATTGAGTCCTGCATCAGTCTCCCATTAGGGAGCCTGTTTCTCTCTCTGCCTGTGTCTCTCTCTCTGTGTCTCTCATGAATAAATAAATAAAATCTTATAAAATAAATTCCATAAAAAAATAAAAATAAACCTGCAAAGCCCCTTAGTGAGTAGCTTTTAATTTTTAGTCGAAAAGATAAATAACCTAGCACTGAGTTAACATAGGAAAAAATTTCAAGATCCTGAGGGAATGCCAATATTTCTCTGAGAGGTAGAACATTAATGGTTTGAATAATAAAACCTGTTTCTGGGCTTCATTTGTGATTAAAGATACTTACTTTGTTTTGCAGAGTAAAGAAGGAGATTTTGTGTACAAAGAAGTTATCAAATCACCCACTGCCTCTCGCATCTCTCTTGGGAAAAAGGTGAAATCAGTGAAAGAGACAATGAGGAAGAGGATGTCTAAAAAATATAGCAGCTCTGTCTCTGAACAGGTATGTAACTCCTGAGCAAAGTGCCATGCCAAGGATAATTAGTCCTGAGATTTGATATGGTGCTAAATACTATTCATTAATATTAACGAGGCTCTCGGACCATGCTTAGTTTATGGACACAGAAGTTCGATAGACCTTTATTCAGTAATTTATTCAAAGATTCAGTAAACATTCACAAAGCACTTAGAGCAGTCCATGGTCAGTGCTGGGAATCCATGATGCAGACCCTGCCTTTTATAGACACATAAGAAAAAGATAACATGTAAAGAAAGGATTATTCCTTAGTGCAATAAGCACTTAACATTTGATACAAAGGGAGGATTTTATTTGCAGAAATATTCCTTGCTACAAAATGGATGTTACCAGAATCGAACCTAAAAAAGACACTCCTGTTTCCTTAGCAGATTTTTTAAAAAGGTTGCAGAAGTTTCTCCAAAAGATCATAGCAAGTAGACTCAAAGTCTTCTGACTGCAGGGCTCCCCATAGTGGTCATTTCTGCAGGGGCATTTTTCACTAACTGGACTTCCCTGTGGCCATCAGGATAGCACAGCATAGACCCCCCTCCAGTTTTATAAATTCATCAGTAGAAACATGACCAGTTCTGTCCTAATTGTATGGGTGGAGGGAATAAAGGCATTTGGAGAGCTGAGCCTTGAGGTAATTTTGACCATTTGCACCTTTGTAGCATTCATTCTGTAGTCCGTTGAAGTATCTGTGTGTGAGATGTTTGTTTTCTTGAAATGTGTAGGTAATGCTGCTCTATCCACCAAATAAAAACAGGAAAAGCAGACATTTTTGCTCAGCTCCTGCCCTCTGGTGGACATAGTAAGCTAAAACCCAAGCAGCTCCCTGTTTGAATTCCTGACCACCAGCTCTAGCTGGTGGCCTGCACTGTGATTCAGACAAAGCCCACATGGTGTCTTCACCGAATTACAGTGGTTCTCATTGAAGGGATTAGAGGGTAGATTTTTGTTTCCCCTCCAGTCCCAGGGCAACTGGGGCTATTTTTGATAGCCACAACTGGGTGGGGGTGGGGGCAGGGTGGCTGCTACCAGCATCCAGTGGATACATGATAGGGATGCTGGCAAACGTTTTATGACAGCTCCCCACACAGTTATCCATCCAATATGCTGACAGTGCTCAGGTTGAGAAACTGGCTTGTGAGACCTACAGGGGAAGTCTGGGCTGCCTCCATGATTATTTTCCTTCCTTGTCTAGTGGCCCAGCAATGAGGCAAACTGTTCACTCTCCTGTGAAGCAGATGACATGCCAGTCACTGAAAGCAGCACCAGGGAGTGAAAGCACTTTATTTAGTTGCTTTTCCCATGAATTGAAACATCCACTAAAAGCTCCTGTGTACGTACATTGTTAGTGGGTTTCTGCCTTACGGATCAGGAGCACAGAATGTTAATGTTGTTTTGAGCTGTTTTCTATAATTTTACTACCATAGAACAGGCACAAGCCTTAATTCTCTTTTTTAAAGCAGTCATTTCACATAAGTGGGGGAAGAAGGAATAAAATCATTATAAAGCTTTTTGGAGACAGAAAACTAATGTTGCAAGGTTTTGGTTTGTTTTTGGTTTTTTTCCTAACATTTTAGTAGATATATCAACCATTACAGTAAAGATCTTTGCTCTGTTTCTGCTTTATGCCCGACACCTAGACTAGTACTTGTTCTTGTAGGTAAAATCAGCAAATATGTGATAAATAAATTAATAAAAGCATTTAAGAACATACAGTATCAGAGATGTATATTGCTGTTTTGCAAAATGTGCATGGTTTTCAGAAGCATTAAAAAAAGATAATTGGACAGATGACTTCTTTGATGATTCAGAAAGAGGATTAAAAACGCATTTAAGAATTCACACTTTGCAGCTTCAGTTACTTTACACTGATGGCACCTCTGTTTATAGTTGTTTTTCAGGTTGTTTGCTCACTTAAATGTAAAGCACAGGGACGCCTGAGTGGCTCAGTGGTTGAGCATCTGCCTTTGGCTCAGCGCATGATCCTGGTCCTGGGATCGAGTTCCCCATCAGGTTCCCCGCATGGAGCCTGCTTCTCCCTCTGCCTGTGTCTCTGCCTCTGTGTATCTCTCATGAATAAATAAAATCTAAAAAAAATGTAAAGCACAAATATGTTTTGGGGGCACCTGACTGGTTCAGTCAGTAGAGCATGTGACTCCTGATGTCAGAGTCATGAGTTCAAGCCCCACATTGGGCGCAGAGCTTACTTGAAAAAAAGTGTTTTGGATCAGAGGCTGCCATTACTGTTGTCCTTAAATGTTTGCAGGACCCGCAGAATCGGGTCAGAGCCCTTCTGATGATTCAGCACTATGCAAATAAAAGGTTTCACTTAGATGGTTTTGTGCTCACGTGGTTATGGAACATGCCAGAAAGAGGTCTATTTTGGCAAGTAAACCATTCTAACTGCATGATATTGTCTATCCGTATAGCACCACTAATCAAGCATGCTGTACTTATATGTGCAAACAAGGGGCTGCCAAGCTAATGCTACACAGCCACCCTAAGAGTGGAAGAGTACTGCTGAGTCATGCCTGTCAGCATTCTGACCTGGAAGGGACTTCACAGCTTTGTACTAACAACACACAAAGGAAGTAAAAGGAGCAAAAACCAAATGGTGATAGAGAAATTTTATTATAGACCAAAAAAATTGGTATTTTTGCTGTATATCCTAAATTGGTATTTCATTAGCTAATTCCAAGCATTTGCATAAACAGAAAAAGAATTTGGCCTTTTTGGTTTTTTTAAGTTTAAACATTTCTGATTAAATATTCTCTGGTAGTACTTCCAGATACTACATTATTGATAGATTGTACTTGATCTGCATTTGAACTCCAGCTTTATTACTGGCCTATAGACCATGCTAGAAGGCTCTAAGCCTTTAATAAAATGTTCTCAGAGGGAGATAGATTTTTCTTGGAGATTTCAAGAATATCTATTTGAGAAATGATTGAGTTACATGAACCACAACTGTAGACTGATGCAAGGGTATATAGATTAAAAAGGAGAATATTGGGTACAGAATGAAATATGGGTATAAAAATGGATTTGATTGATTTTGTTGGGAGCTAAATTGCCTCAGATTATAAAATGACACCCATCTACTCTGATGAAACTTAATTTCATTGAAACTCATTTCAGGACTCGGGCCTTGATGGAATGCCTGGCTCCCCCCCATCTTCACAGCCTGACAGTGAACACATGGACAAGCCCAAGCTCAAAGCCGGAGGTTCTGTAGAGAGTCTGCGCAGCTCTCTGAGTGGGCAGAGCTCGATGAGTACGTCTAGTTTGTAATTATACAAGATTTCAGTTGGAGTCAAAATCAGACTTTCCTGAGTGTCAGAGTCAGGCAGTTTAAAGATGAGTAAGACCAAGTTCCTACCTTTAGGATGCTATTAAGAGACAGACCTGCAAAACAGGTGGATCTAGCATCCTATTTGTTTAGTAGCAGACGTATAGCAGTGGCACAGAAGAAGGGGTGATGAATTTTGATTGGAGAAAATGGGGAAAGCAGCTCAAAGGAAGGATCTGGAGAATGGAAGGATATGAAAAATAAGTCAAGGGGAAAGGCTCATGAAATGACCAACAAATTAAGAGGTGGGGGAAGAGAGAATTTGGAATGTCACATGTAACACAAGCTACTCGACCACTCCTGGGCTAATGGGGGTGCCAGCTGGATGGCAAAGGGGAAGAGAGCAACCTAAAACACCATTTTCAAAGCCACTGGCCTTGGGCAAGTAACTGGACTTCTCTGAGTTTCCTCACCTGTAAAACAGGATAAAAATAGTAAGCCTGGGGATCCCTGGGTGGCGCAGCGGTTTGGCGCCTGCCTTTGGCCCAGGGCGCGATCCTGGAGACCCGGGATCGAGTCCCACGTCGGGCTCCCGGTGCATGGAGCCTGCTTTTCCCTCTGCCTGTGTCTCTGCCTTGTCTCTGCCTCTCTCTCTCTCTGTATGACTATCATAAATAAATAATTTTTAAAAATTAAAAAAAAAATAGTAAGCCTGGGAGCTTATGAATGTTGAAGGCTTGTGGTGTGTGGAACCTGGATTCCCAGGTCATAAAGGCAACTTGCTGAGTCCCTGGTCTACTTAGGTGGTTGATTAGGGATAAAAAAAAAAAAAAAAAAAAAAAAAAAACAGAAAACTCAGATCTCCTGGACTCCTAATCTGGCCCTGCTGTGGTCCTGACATATGCCTGTGACTTTTCTGCTCTGTCCCTTTGTTTCCTAACCTGTGATACCTTTGATGTCTTTAAGCTTTGCTATACAAGAAATCCATATTTATCCTTGTTCTTCCTGTTTTTTCTGTGCAGGTGGTCAAACAGTGAGTACCACTGATTCCTCGACCAGCAACAGGGAGAGTGTCAAGTCAGAAGATGGTGATGATGAGGAGCCCCCTTACCGGGGCCCCTTCTGTGGTCGTGCCAGGGTGCACACGGACTTCACGCCCAGTCCCTATGACACAGACTCACTCAAGCTCAAGGTAGGTCTCCACCTCAGAGCCATTCTTGGTATCTTCAAGAGGTGTTCTGTTTTCCTTGCTGCTCAGTGCTGGGCTCCTGTGGTGCATACTGGCCAGTATCTTGGCTACTGTGATAAACCTGTCTCTCCTGTACAGAAAAACAAAAACAGAGACCCAGCTAGCATTGAGGACAAAGGTGGGTCTTGTGTTAATCCTCTATCATCACCTCATCCCCTAGCCCTTCCCTTTGAACTTAGCTTCCTTTTAGAATTCCTGTTGCCCTCCACCCTCCAGCTCTTGTCTTTCTCCGGCTGAAGAAACCTTCTTGTCTTCTCTGTGTGACTGACCAGTAATGTTTATATGGGACAGATGGCGCTGCACAAAATACATTAAGCAGTTATAGAACAGGGACTGCTGCTGGCATTTGCTTGGTGGGGAGTCTTTCTCTAGGAAGTAGGATCTCTGGATGATGGCCAGGCATCCAGAAAGGCAGGTGCCCACCTAGTTGGAAGCCCTAAGAAAGACTTCAGCCACACCTCATCTTGTGGTGCAAGGGGTGGAGGGTATGGGACCTCAGGCCTGCATGGAATCTAGCAGAGTCAGGAGAGCTCTGGCTCACTGCCAAGCTCCCAGTTATGTGTGGTAATTTGTGGAATCCTGATTGACACATCTAATTGGTGCACAGTTCATGCCTAGAGATGTACCTAATGCAAAGATCTTTATTCCCTGGGCTGCAGAAAGGAGACGTCATTGATATAATTAGCAAGCCACCCATGGGCACCTGGATGGGTCTCTTGAACAACAAAGTTGGCACATTCAAGTTCATCTATGTAGATGTGCTAAATGAGGAAGAAGAGAAGCCCAAGCGCCCCACCAGAAGGAGGAGAAAAGGAAGACCACCCCAGCCCAAATCGGTGGAAGATCTACTCGATCGGATCAACCTGAAAGTTAGTTTCTTCCTGTTGTAGTCACACATGGCAACCTATTGCCTTCTCCTTTTCCTAAAATAAGCAAGGGCACTTTCCGGGAAGGGAGTGGGTGATCTATGTCATCCAACAACGGTGGCCCATTACTACAATAAATATCTATTATTCTACAGAAACAGATACCAGTGTTCGAACATGGCTGTTGACCTCTGCTGCAAGTGACCACATAAGTCCCAGGTCACAATTTGCTGTAGCCCCAAGAATAGCTTTCAAAGAGCTGTTTGGTAGAGTTTCCAGCTACCACCAGGGAGGGCTATACTCGCAAACCCCCTGACGCCCTGCTCACTCAGCCCCACAGGCTGTGAGGATCCACCCAAGGCCCCTCTCCCAGTGTTATTCCCAGGATCTAGTGCATAGGGGCCGCAGCCTTACCTTCTGTTTCCTCCTTGCAAAACCCTCTTGCTCCTGAGGAAGTCACAGGGCTTTGAGTTGGGATTTCAGTAGCTCTGTAAAGGAAGAAAAGTGACTCCGCTGTGTGCTGTGTGGCCTTAAAGGCGTCAGTCAGAGCAAAGGCACAGTTCAAATGCAAGCCAGTGGAGTCCACCTCAGCCTGCAAGGTCCATCTTCTTAACCCATGATTAATGAAATGCCCTGCCTTCCTGCTAAGCTGTGCAACTGGGAGGTGCAGAATAGATTACAAATGATAGTTACCAATCTTGCAATTAGCAGGAAAGGGACTGTGGAGAGAGTTCAGGGGTTTGAGGCTGGGTGTTGGTCGTGGGTCACGTAGCAGAGCTTGCTGACTCACTTGTGTCCTCCCTCACAGGAGCACATGCCCACTTTCCTGTTTAATGGATATGAAGACCTGGACACCTTTAAGCTCCTGGAGGAGGAAGACTTGGATGAGTTAAATATCAGGGACCCAGAACACAGGGCCGTTCTCTTGACAGCAGTGGAGCTGTTACAGGAATACGACAGTAAGTTCCTCCCAGCACACAAGCGTGCCTTGTTAGATCAGCCACAAGCTCGGGTCCCTAGAGGCACTCCTTTGGTCCCACTCCATCCAAAGCCAGGATCCGTTTGTTCTGTACTCTGTCAAATGGCACAAAGGTATGAATTGCCAACATAGCCCTTTTGGTTGATGCTGGAGAGCAAAAGAAAACACTACTGGTTCCTTTCCTGGTGTGTTTCTAGGTAACATTTGAGGAAAACGCTGCCCTCAGGGATTGAGAAACGAATTACAGTTTTCTTAGCACAGTAGATGGCACCTTTGGCAGTGCTGGGATGTGCAGCTTGGCAGGTCATCAGGAGACCTGGGCACAGATGAAGCTGATGCCCTGGGAGCGTCCTGCCAGCCATAGGCTAATCACTTCTCAGAGCACACTGGAGTAGTTTTCTTATTGAATGGGAGGGTTCATGAATACTTGACATTCATCAGCTTCCACTGAAACAGCAGGAAATACCTGAAGTGAATACACCGAGCAGAGAATTCCATATTGCTCGTTTTCAGCCGAGGCAAGAGCTCATTTTTATAGTCCACGGGCAGAGTTCAGTAGGCTCGCAGCTTTTATGGAGTCAATTTGAATACGCTGTATCCTTTGCTCCATTAACCTAGTCTTACCTTGCTCTTTATTCTTCAATCTGACATCAAAAATACCCCTGAAATTATTCATCACGAGGGGAGTATCCTTTCTAGTTATTGAATTCAAATGCATTTTCTTTCAAGCGCCCTGCTTCGCTAGCTAATAGCATTTCTGTTGCTAAAAGACAACCAAAACCATGGTTAATGGTGGGAAAAAAATATATATATATATATTACTGAATGGATCAGGCCCACGAGACATGGAAGCAAGTGAGTCGGTACAGTTAAGTTCACTTCTGCTTAATCAGTCCTCCCTCTAAATTAACTGATAAACATAGAGGACCACACAACATCCAATAGATATCTGAATCCTAGATAAATACACTGCCTCCAGGGATAGATTTGAAGAGAATTGTGCTTCGTAGTTACTACTACTTTATAACCGCGTCTCTTTGGTATAGGAGCTGTCTCTTGGGAAGTGGACGTGCGGCCAGGTTGTGTAGAGAGAGCCACCTGGCCCAGTGCCTGGTGTGGCCAGCCAGCTATATGAATATCAATTAACATTCAATCATCTGGGATCCCTGGGTGGCGCAGCGGTTTGGCGCCTGCCTTTGGCCCAGGGCGCGATTCTGGAGACCTGGGATCGAATCCCACATCGGGCTCCCGGTGCATGGAGCCTGCTTCTCCCTCTGCCTGTGTCTCTGCCTCTCTCTCTCTCTCTCTCTCTCTCTCTCTCTCTCTCTCTCTCTCTCATCATAAATTAAAAATAAAAAAATAAAAAAACAAAAAAACATTCAATCATCTACTCTCCTGAACCACATCTGCTCTATAAAATAGCTCATTTGCTCTTCCTTAGCCACTAGGAACAGCTGGTTTATAAACCCTATCTGTTATGTTTCCTGTCGCATTCAGAACATAGGAGTGAGGGTAAACCCTTAGTGTAAGACAGGATGGATCTGTGCTTAGTGTCTTTCCTGCCACATTGGCTCAAATTCATTGTCCCTCCAGGGATCACATCCTGAGGTTTATACCAGGGGAGATTTTATAGGAGGGAATCTGCCTATCATCATGCATACTTAGAAGTATAAAGAGGGCTCTTGGCTACTTTATTTTTTTTTAAGATTTTATTTATTTATTCATGAGACACAGAGAGAGAGAGAGAGAGAGAGAGAGGCAGAGACATAGGCAGAGGGAGAAGCAGGCTCCATGCAGGGAGCCCGATGTGGGACTCAATCCCGGGACTCCAGGATCACACCCTGGGCCAAAGGCAGGCGCCAAACCACTGAGCCACCCAGGTGTCCCTCTTTGCTTCTTTATAAATACCATTTGAACTCCGTGCTGTGCCACTGCTTAGAATATCCCTAATGCATGAAGTAGCACTTCCCTTTATTGGTTCTAAAACAAAGGCTTCAGGGGCTCTGGGGTGCTCATGAGTGCCAACGGTCTGGGTCCAGGCCTATCCTAGGATTATAAGACTTTACATTCAGTGCAGTTAAATTGTGTTTAAGAAGTATTCTAAGTAACTGATAACCTAAAGGAACACCGTAGATTTCTGTCAAACTAAATTTCTATGTAAAAGATCCAGAGATCTACTGATCTAGCTCTGCCACCCACAAGAGCAAGAAGCATACATCTCCAGCACTGCTTGGCAGTCAGACCTACCAGTTCCTCTCATTGCACAGCCTTGCGTGGGAAATGCAGGCCTTCGTAACAGGGTTCCATTTGGAAAAGACTCTAATTATCTAATAGTACTTCCCTACACTGACACCAAAACCACTGTGCTAGGCCTGCCACGGAAAAGCTCTTTTTAAATAATTAAGAATTTTAATCCACAATTATTTCTCACATAAAGTACAGAGGAAAAACAAATCCACATATCCACCTCTTAAATCCAACTAAAAGTCAACATTTTGGCATATTTGCTTCAGTTCTTTTTTAAAGACATACAGGGAACTGTAACCAGCTCCCTGAAAGGCCTACTATCCAAGTTTTCCTTCCCGAGGTAACTGCTCTCCAGAAGGTGGTGTGTGACCTAGTGCACAAGCACCTTTTCATGATGGACTATCTCCATGTCTTAGCAGGTTCTTCTCCCCCCCCCCCCCGACCCACCCCATGAGTATGTGAGATAGGGGGAGGGCTTAACCCAGAGTCCCTTCAGGCCTGAGGTCAGGTCGTGCCCAAACGGGTTTACAGCCCCCAAACCCTGTCCTCCACGCTTGAGTATGAGAATTTTCATGGTCTTAGCTCACCTTCTTTGTTATCCTTTGTATCTTGGCATTCATGCTACAAGTGGGGGGAGAAGATATGGCTTTGAATCTACAGAACATCTAACTCCCTAATGAAGGAAGGCAAATTACTTGGTAAATATTGGCTTTCAGTGTTAGTTGGAGTCCTGCTAAGTAGCTGTTGAATGGATCTTTAAGGAAGAAAGTGACTGTGTAGGCCTTTGACATGTGTCATGATTATATCATCTGAACTGGTTATCAGGCAACATGAGGGGGTGATCCCTTCACTCACCATAACTTCAGGCACCCCAACTGTGTCTGCTGAGGTTGGCATCCCTGCAGACACAGACACAGTCTGCATGTTCATACAGTGAGAGGGACAAGTACACTCTTTCATTCCCATTGGTCAGCACTTTAGAGTCTGTTTTGGCTGAAGCGGTACACTGAACTGTCTCGCCAAGGACAAACTACACTGATTCCTCTCCTGGGCTGTAATTGATAGCTCAAAGCCCTCATTTTATACGTATCATTTTCCTAAATAACATACTAGATGAGGACAAAGGCCACTTCAAATCCACAGACTCTTCCACATAATGAGGACATCACTCTAGAATGTTCTACTTTCTGTGGGAGGGAGGGTGATGGTTTTGCTGTTGTGCTTCCAATTAATTTTTCATTAATCATTTAAAAAATAGCACTTCTTAATGTGGGGTTCTACTTTAAGGACTTACTCTGCCATGATGAGTGTCCTAAACTGCTTTCTATGTGAGAAATGCAAACAGGAAATGGTGAGTGGGCAGTAGGGATGGGATGGCTAGTGCGTTGCAGGATGGTGCTCATCTGCCTTCCTACAATTTATTTTTTAATGACCTGAGAAAGGGCATCAGATTTATTTTTTTTCTTTATGTATGTGGTGGTGGGGAGGGACAGTGAAAACAAAAGAAAGCCATTTATGCAGAAAATGCTTTCTTGGTTTCTGTTTTATGTGACCCAAGTACTTTCTCTGCATAATAATACAATAACCTCACTCCCATGTAAGTCGAATGTGCAGGTGACATGGCTGGGTGATGGAGGTTCCCCTGCCCCTTACTTCCCATGTGATTGACTTTAGGGACTTTCCCTGGACAGAAAACACCACATCCTTCTCTTTAGAGGGTTCTTTAAAATGAGGACATCTAACTTACAGTAACCCTCCTGAAAGAGTATTCAAGTTAGAGACTTCCTGAACTTTCCTGGTCTTACCTTTGTGTCCAGTAAATAGAAATGCTGACCCCAAACAAAGGGAGAGGCAGAAAGGAAATAAAACCTTTTAACACATTCCAAATAACAAAAACAGAAGGATTTAATGTGTGTCCCCCATCAGGTTAAGGCTTTATTTTTTTTTTTCATTTTTTTTTAAAGATTTTATTTATTTATTCATGAGAGACACAGAGAGAGAGAGAGGCAGAGACACAGGCAGAGGGAGAAGCAGGCTCTATGCAGGGAGCCTGACATGGGACTTGATCCCAGGTCTCCAGGATCAGGCCCTGGGCTAAAGGCGGTCCTAAACCGCTGAGCCACCCGGGCTGCCCAGATTAGGGCTTTATGTCCCCATTTGCTAGCTAGCCTTACTCCTATTGAGAGAATATGAAAACCAGCACTTGTCACCAAGACCTCAGAATGCCCCTAAATTAGTAATAAAATTCAATATTTCATTTACCACTTACTTTGATGTTGGCTTCCAAATTTAGAAAGCTGGTGACACATAACTTGGGAGACAAATCTTAGAGTAACCTGCTTGTGAAAGGAGCATCTTCACTCTTGGTTTCCATTCTGTGGTACAATCTCCCAGAAAGGACCATGACTGCTAACACAATGCTCTGAATTTTCCCTCTTCCTGATTGGCCTGGTGCCAGAGTCCTCCTCTGGGTATCTTAAAACACACGACCTGCAACTACATACTCTCCCTCTAAATTTATTATCATAATAATCCTTTATAGGAAAATGATCTGATCTCCTCTGTTCATTTTTATTTTGCTCACTTTAAAATAGTTTGCTCTCTTGAAGAAATTCAAGGCTTAAAAACATGATTGATAGCAGGATAAAATCAGGGTCTGATTGATTCTGAACCTCTGCTTTTCCTTCCCTGATTCCATGCTATGTGTTTACCTTCTCTAGGTAACAGTGACCAGTCAGGATCCCAGGAGAAACTTCTTGTTGACAGCCAGGGCCTGAGTGGATGCTCTCCACGAGACTCAGGATGCTATGAAAGCAGTGAGAACCTGGAACACGGTAATGTCCACACAGATTATTATGAATGCGCCTTAATATTCAAGCCATTTGGGTCATTTATGACTATCTTTCTTCCTTAGCCCGAGCCACGCTTTTGGGAATACTGCAATAGGAAGGAAGAATTTTTTCAGGATTACTGGTACTTAAGATTTGTAAAAAGACTAAATATCTCTCAAGAAACTAGGCAATGGAGTTTTTTGAGAAACGAGCATAATGGTCTTATTCTTCCATCCCAGTTCACACATAAATGGAAAGTTTAAGACACTTGTGTGTCAGAGAAAAGATCCTCAACTTCCCGTTACCTGGAAGCTCTTAGTGCCTTAGCCCCTGTGTGGATTTGAAAAGAACCAGAGGGTTTAGAACAAGATAGTCCTGGTCCTGGGGGTTTGAACAGAGATTTTACAAGCACAAGACTTTGGTCAAATGACTTCACACCTCTGAGCCCCCTCACCACTGAAATAGTAAATGAGCATCTTTCTTACAGATTGTTCTAAGAGTTAAACAAAGTAAGGATATATTAATACCTAGGCTTTTTTAAACACGGACTACAAATTGTTAAGTGTTTGGACATGCCCAGTGAAGCAAACTTTCTTGTCCTCTTGTGGATCACGATTGCATCACTCCTCTGATGAACAGATAGATTTGGCAGTGGTATGTCAAGATGACAGTGCAAAAACATCTAAATCCATACCGCAATACAGCAAAAAGACTGACTTTATCCAAAAGTCTTTGCTTCATTTCTGTGGAAGCTAAATCTCTGAATAAGCATAGGCTATATGATTAAATATTAAAATACTACATTTTTGTCTTTAAAAAAAAAATTTCAAATTTCAGACCAGCTAGACATAACTACATACATCTAATATGGTACTTCCTTCTCCCACAGAGAGCATTACAGGGGCTCATTGTTATGTCCCCACCCTTCACATCAGTAGGCCAGGCCTACCCATGGCCTACTTCCTGGAAATTATTAGAGAATATGTTTTTGCCCTTAACTGGAGCTCTGAGCGCCAGCCATACCCACTGCAAATGACAAACTCAATCTCAATCAGTAGTTTACTTATAATATATTCTTCATAATTATACACACATAGATGTTCAACAGACAGATTTTGGAACAAACAGGATCAGCCATAAACTTTATTTTGAAAACAAGCATAACAGTATACAAGCAAGGTATAACATTGCCAAACTCCACAACTCAAATCAAAAAGCACTTCAGAAGCAAGAGGTTTTCAAAATAGGTATGACTTTTTTTTTTTTTTTTTTCATCTTTTCTGCCTGGTCCACTTAACAGTTAAGAACATGGTCTCTCTCCACCCCACCCCACCCCCTTTGTTAAAGCTGTTCTAGTTCTCACTAGGAAAGTATTTTCATTGAAAGTAGAGATAAATGCGAGATGCATTTAAAGGAGCCAGTGCTTGTTCTGCAACTGTTAAGCCCTGGTCTGTGGAGTTGGCAGCCAGTCTCAGGGGGGCCCCAGGGCCTTGGCGCTGGGAGGGATGGTGGCCACGGTGGGGGCGGGGGTGGTAGCAACATGTCTGGGCTTTGCCTTGAGCCATCTCAACACTAGCTTTGATCTTTTTGTAAATGAAGCTTCATTAAAAAGGATACACCTGATTTGAAAAGTATGGTTTTCTGAAAAAGGATGATTCTGTTACCATTATGAACTTGGCAATCATCTTTTCCTTTCTGACCTCTTCTCCTAGTGCATAGTCTGCAGTGTCTGCTCCTCCTGACTGCCATGTGAGGCAAATAAATTGCATCCAAAATACCTGCAGCTGTAAAACCTAAATTGTGTGTCTCCTATGTCCTTTTCTTTTCACAGTAAAAACCAGCATTCGAGTTTTGGGAGCTATTAGGTCCTTAAGGAAAACAATTTACCAGGTCAGCCATCCATCAGGGTCACAAAGGCAGCAGTATCTTAAAAGCCTCTGCGCCATGGCCTGAGTGCAGAGCAATTACTGAGGCAGAGGGTGATCTGAAGGCCACGTGTCTTATTTCCTCCCTGTCCTCACAGGGAGGCCCTCAGTAGGAAATTTCAGGAAGCTTACTTGTCTCACACAGGCATCTGACATTAAATGGGGTCAGGTGCATTCCATTTTACCATGGGTGGCTCTGATGTCCTCTTGCCCCCCGACTCCTTTTATAGCAAGAAACGTAACTACTGTTAAAGACCGTTGTAAAGGATCCCCTAAAGTCCTGTCGAACACATGAAGACCATCATGAAAAATGCCCAGGGTTGATAGTTGCTATTTAATCCTATCAAGTAGCCCATCTGTTAAAATATTGAGCACCTACCAAAGCAAAGCTTTTTAAACTGCAAATTGCAGTTCATTAGTGGACTGTAAAATCAGTTTAGAAAGTCACAGAGAGTAGTTTTATAAAATAGAAAATACCAGGGTGCATTCCAAAGGTAAGAGTGGTATTGTTACTTGTAATCTTTGTTTCATTATGTCTCTGTGTGTACTGGATGAATGTATAATGTGTTTCTTACTGTAGGTCATAATTAAAAAAAAAATAGTTTGAGAGCCATTATGAGCTCAAAACCAGGACTGGACTGGGGTTCTCCCAGTGAGTGGGCAGGGTGTGGACTTTACAGAGGTACTCACTGTCAGGTACTCACTTATACCTGCCTGACCCTGACAGCAGTCACCTCCACTTGTGCCCCCTAGGCACTTTGCTCACCTCACCCTAATCCCAATTCTGATGAGCATTTTGGGGACTTCAAAATTTGATCCATGAACTCTGCCAAAATGTTTTATCAATTTGGGAAGATAGTGGTTCTCCCTAAATCCTAGTGTTACAGCAGCCTGTGTTAAGATGGCACTGAAAACTCACCTAGGGGACTTCTGGAAGGTGGCAGAGTAGGAGGATCCTAAGCTTACCTTGTCCCATGGACACAACTAGGTAACAGCCACATCAATGCATCCAACCCAGAATACAACCCAACAATGGGCAAAACAGACTTTCCAGTTGAGTGGAGACATGGTCAGGAACCAAACTCCTGGTGAAACTAACCACAAACAGGAGGAACTCCATAAGCACCAGAGAATGGAGAACAGACCCCACACCAGGCACCCTAGACATGGGGGGGGGGGCTACAATGAGAAGATGAGTCTCCACCATCTGGCTTTGAAAACCAGTGGGTCTTAGCTTTGTGAGTTTTTAACAACCAGCTGGACTTAACTCCAGGTACTTTAAAAATCAGTGGCCCAGCTCCAGGAGAGCTGAGGGTGACAGGAAATAGTCCTGGCCCTGAAAGAGTTAGCATAACAAACAACCTTGCTGAGATATGGCATAGAAGCAGCAGTCTGAAAAGCACCTGGGGTATGCATGCAGGAGATTTACTTAATAATCTCAGAATTGGTGCTGGAGAGACCGGGATCTTTAGGAGACTTCTCCAAGAACAAAAGAGCTGGCTGGTGCCATTGCCTCCACCTCCACCTGGACTACCTGCAGGAAACAGAGTGAAGACTCTCCACCTACCTTGCTAACACCATGCACCCTGCCCCCAGGTTCTCCTGTGAACTTGCTCCATCCAGACCACCTCAGTTGGCAGGACTCCCTCCAAAGCAGAGCTTGCCAGGTCTCATCCTATAAGCAGCCTTGGCAGGGATTGTTGCCTCTGAAAAATGATTCGTTGCCCCACAGAGAGGGGAAGATAACCACACACCCCACTATACTCAGTCCCAGCAGCCAAACCTTATAAATACCAGTGCAGAGTGATTGCCCTACCAATCAATGCATCTGCAGTCCTGGCAGGCATCTGGCCTGACTACCAGCCCTGCCCACCAACAAAAACTTCTCAGAACAATGCAAGGAGAACACTCTGTAGTTGAGTATGACTGCAGCTCTTGCAAATGGGCAGAGAGTAAGCATCTGATCTGACTGCTACCACCACCCAACTGCAAGCCCATGACCACCCAGACTGATCTCTTAGCATAGGGACCAAACCCAGCCCACCACAGGCAAAGTAGACACAACCAACTGGACTGAAGGCAAATGAGGCTGAGCCACAACAGTAGGGTACACTCAGTTCACATAGAAGACACCCTTGAAGCTTCTGGTTGAGGTGAACTAGGGACATTGTGCTATAGGGCACCACAGGACCTCTCCTTCAAAAGGTTACATAAGGAGACATAACTGACTTTCCTAATAAGTACAAACAAATGCAGTGTTAGACAAAATAAGGAGATAGAAGGATATGTCCCAAATGAAAGAACAGGACAAAACCACAGCCAAAGAGCTGAATGAAACAGATAAGTAATATGCCTGAAGAATTAAAAATAATGGTCATAAAGATACTGGATTTGAGAAGAGTAGAAGATCCCAGATCTTCAACAAAGATGGAAAATATGAAAAAGAACCAATCGGAGATGAACTCAATCATTGAAACTTTAAGTAACTAGAAGGAATCAGTAGTAGATTAGAGGAAGCAAAGAATGGATCAGTGAGCTGGAAGACAGAGTATTGGTAAGTAACCAAGCTGAACATCAAAAAGACAAAAGAAAAAGTGAGAATAGGTTAAGGGAACTCAGAGACATAATCAAGTAATAACTTCACATTATAGGGATCCCAGGAAGAGAAAAGGGGGCAGAAAATTGATTTTAAGAAATAATAGCTGAAAACTTCCCAAATCTAGGGAAAGAAACAGACATCTGCCTCCAGGAGGCAGAGAGAGCGCTCAACAAAATCAATACAAGGAGGTCCACACAGAGATACATAATAATTGGCAAAAAGTGCTAACAAAGAGAATCTTTAAAGCCGCAAGAGAGAACAGTTACATATAAGGAAAACCCCATAAGGCTATATCAGCTGAGTTTTCACCAGAAACATTGCAGGGGCCAGAGGGAATGGCATGATATATTCAAAATGCTGAAACAACAACAAAAAAAATTGCAACCAAGAATGCCCTACCCAGCATGGCTATTATTCAGAATAGGAGGAGAGCTAAAGTGTTTCTCAGACAAACAAGGTAAGTTAATCACCACTTAACCAGCCTTACAAGAAACACTAAAGGGAATTAAGTAGAAAGAAGATGCTATAATCAGGAATAAGAAAATTATGAAAGGAAAAAATTTCACAGGTAAATACAAATATAAAAGTAGAAGATCAATCATTTACAAAACCAGTACAGAGGTTAAAGCACAAAAGCAGTACAGTCAATTGTATCTGTAAAAATCAGTCAAGCAATGCACAAAATAAGATGTAAAGTATGACATCATATACATAAAACATGGGGTTTAGAGGTGGAAGGAGTAAAAATTTAGTGCTTTTAGAATGGTTTCAAATTTAAGTGACCATCAAATTAATATAAACTGCTAGGTGCATAGGATGTTCCATATCAAATTAATGGTAACCACAGATCAAAACTTATAACAGATATGTAAAAATGAAGGGAAAAGAATTATGGCATATCACTAGAGAAGGCTATCAAAACATCAGGGGAGAGAGTAAGAGAAGAAAGGAACAAAGAACTAAGACAACTATAAAATAAGGAACAAAATGGCAATAAGTACATACTTATCAGTAATTAATTTGAATGTAAATGGACTCAATGCTCCAGTCAAAAGATGTGGCATGATTGAATATATAAAAAAGCAAGACCCACCTATATGTGACCTACAAGAGACTTGCTTCAGACCTACCTAAAGACACAGAGTGAAAATGAAGGAATAGAAAAACACTTACCGTGTTAATGGATGTGAAAAAGAAAGCTGGGGTAGCAATATTTATATTGGAACAAACTGACTTTCACACAAACAGTGTAACGAGACAAAGCAGTACTCTCTATAAAGAGAACAATCCAGTAAGAGTATATAACAATTGTAAATATTTATGCACCCATCATGGGAGAACCTGCATATATAAAGCAATATTAACAGATATAAGGGAAGACATTGGCAGGAATACAGTAATAGGGGGCTTGAACCCATGGATAGATCATCCAGACAGAAAATCAGCAAAGGAACAGTGGCTTTGAATAACACAATGGGTCAGATGGACCTAATAGATATATTCAGAACATTCCACCCAAAAACAGAATACACATTCAGGTGCACATGGAACATTCCAGAATAGATCACATGTTAGGCCACAAAGCAAGTCTCAACAAAGTCAAAAAGACTGGAACAATATCAGGCATCTTTTCCAACCACAAAGGTATAAGACTAGAAATTAACCACAAGAAAAAGTCTGGAAAGAATATGAATACATGGAAGCTAAGTAACAAGCTATGAAACAATGAATAGGTCAATGAAGAAATCAAAGAGCAAATCGGCAAATACATTGAGACAAATGAAAATGCAAATACAATGGTCCAGAATCTTTGGGATGCAGCAAAAGCTGTTCTAAGAGGGAAGTTTATAGCAATACAGGCCTACCTCAGAAAGCAAGAAAGATCTCAAACAACCTAACCTTACATCTAAAGGAGCTAGATAAAAAAAAGAAAGCCCAAAGCCAGTAGAGGAAGCAAAGATAGAGCAGAAATAAAAGAAAGAGAGGTTTAAAAAAAAAAAAAAGGAACAGATGAAATCAGGAGCTGGTTCTTTGAAAAGATCAAGAAAATTGATAAACTATTAGCCAGACTCATCAGAAAGAGAGGATGCATATCAGAAATGGAGGCGAAAGAACAGCTGACACCACAGAAATACAAAGGATAAGAGAATATTATGATAAATTATATGCCAACAAATTAGACAACCTAGAAGAAATGGATAAGTTCCTACAAACCTAACCTTTCCAAGACTGAATCAGGAAGAAATAGAAAATTTGAACAGACCATTTACTAGCAATGAAATTGGAAGGCATCTTGCTCAACACTATACCACCAACAATGCCATTGATTCAGTAATAAAAATATACTCAACCAGGGGTGCCTGGGTGGCTCAGTCAGTTAAGCCTCTGACTCTTGATTTTGGCTCAGGTCATGATTTCCAGAGTTGTGAGACCCAGCCCCGAGTGTGGAGCCTGCTTAAGAATCTCTCTTCCCCTTCCTCCCTGACTTGAGTGTGTGTGCTCTTAAAAAAATCTAAAATAGAATAAAAAAAAAAAAAAAACTCAACGAGAAAAGGTCCAGGACCCAATGGCTTCACAGGTGAATTCTACCAAACATTTAGAGAAGAGTACCATATGATCCAGTAATTTCACCACTTAGGTATTTACACAAAGAAAATGAAAACACTAATTTGAAAAGATAGATATATTCCTATGTTTATTATAGTAGTAATCGTGAAGATATAGAATAACCCATGTCCACTAATAGATGGATAAAGAAGATGTGCTATATAGGCACAACACACAATCTTACTCAGACATTAAAAAAATAAAAAGAACAAAATCTTGTCATTTGCAACAACATGAATGGACCTAAAGGGTATAATGCTAAGTGAGATAAATCAGAGAAGACAAATACCATAGGATTTCACTCTTACGTGGAATATAAGAAACAAAATGAACAAAGGGAGACAAATACAGAGAACAAAGGGGAGGTGGGTGAAGGGATGGGTGAAAAAAATGGGATTAAGAGTACACCGATGAGCGCTGAGAAACATACAGAATCATTGAATCACTGTATTATACACCTGAAACTAATAGAACACTGTGCATGAACTGCTTGAAAAGAAAACACACCACCTGGAGTGCTGAATGCAGCGACTCCTGAGCTCCAGGAAACATCTGAGTCCTCCCATAAGTCCTGAAGGTTTTTCTTTCCTGTTAATAAGCTTTTTACATCCAAACATGTTCAGGAATTTCATTCTCCAAACTGTTTTTGGATTGGTAAGGATTTCACAGATAACAGTGACAGATGTAAAGCTCAAAAGCATCCAGATGTACCTGCTGAAGAACTACAGAAGCTGGCAAACCATTCTTTACCTGCAAGGTGAATTCAGGGATCTTTCCAATATAAGCAGAATGAGGAAGTGTAATCTCTACATACAGTTTCTATTAACAGTTAAAGGGAAGGGAAGAAAGCCTTTAGTTACAAGATAGTGGACTTTCAGAGTACAGCCAGCCAGTTCTTTGTACCTTCCAAACCTGATGTGGGTTTTACATTTTTATGGAATACTAGGGTCATCTGAGGTACTATTCTCCTTAGGCATTTCAGCCCATCATCAAAGAACACATCAAATGTGGGATTAACCAAAATATAGCAAAGGACAGTTAATTATGGGGTGTGTGTGTGTGTTAAAAGTACTGATGAAGACTAAGCATTTAGCACACAGGCCCTGACCACAGGGTAAATTCTCAGCAAAGCTTATCAAGCAATACTAGCAGTTGATCTCAAACACCATCAAATTAATAGACGATGTCTGGTTAATAAGTTCAGTGATAGCTGACGATTGATTTTAATCAGAGCTGGCACCTCCCTGGAAATTAGAACCATATCAGTATTTTATAGATTGTCAAAATACTCCCATTAGCTTGTTTACTTACTTGAACCAAGGTTGGTTGACTGTTTCAAGGATCTATCTACTTCACACATACCAATGAACCGGTGACAGGGGGAGCTTAGGGGACGGTGTGCTTGGTGAGTTCTGTGGTCACCAGCGAGCCTTAGGGAGCACGGGTGGAATTCAGTACGCCGGCCCCTCACAACCCTGACCCTGGGAAACTGCCCTCCCAAAACCAAAATCCCACTGTATGGTTTCTGAACCGGGTACCGGTGATCCAGACTCTTCTATACTGACTGCACCTGGGAACAGACGTTAGGCCTAGACTTATCTTCCTGCCTGACACAGCCTATTTCTTTCTCTCATGACAATTAATTTCAGTCTCTACGAGTCCATTAATAAGTCTGGAAACTCTAAAAATAAAAATGGGACCCGAATAATCCTGTACCACCCAACATCATAAATGGGGATTTTTCTGTCCTTAGTACCATTCAACTGCGGGACATAGGAGTGGGGAGATTTCAATTACGTCAGCACGTCTTTACAGGAGTTTGATTTCTTAAAATGATTGTAAAATACGTCCTTGTCTCACAGGCAAGACTCGGAAGACGGGCCTTCTCTCGGTCAAGTCGTCAACGGAGTCCAGCTTGAAGTCCTTCACCAGGAGTCAGCGGGGCAGCTACCCGACCCTGCCTTTAACGAAGTCGGCAGATGCCCTGAAGCAGGGGGACGAGGGCAGGCTGGGCAGCGGTCCGCCCGCCCACGCCTCTAAGTGCTGTGACCAGCCGTGTGTGACTGGTTCCAGCAAAAACCGAAGAAGCCTCCCTGTTTCCATCTGTCGGAGCTGTGAGACCCTGGAGGACCCCCAGCCTGTGGAAGCATGGCCCCGATCCCACTCCCTGGACGGCCTTCAAGGAGAGCCTGCCGCTGAGAAGGACGTGCCTGGCAAGGTGACACAACCTTCCCCTCAGACTGTACCGCAAGTGCCACAAAAGACAACCCCCTCCGTCGCAAAGGCTCAAAGCCCCAAACGAGATCCTGCTGTTGACAATGCACTGCTACTGACCCAAAGCAAGAGATTCCCTGAACCTCAGAAGACAGCTACTAAGAAACCGGAGGGCCCCGTCGCGGCCCCTGCCGGGGGCACGTCACCTCCTCCGTGCCTGCCCAGAAGCTACGATGCTCAGCCTCCCGGGGTGAAACACGGTTTAGCAAGGACGCCTCTGGAGGGTCACAGGAAGGGACTCGATTGCGAAGGCCCGCATCACCCCCTGGGCACCAAAGAAGGCCCAGATGCTGAGCAGCGGGGCCCCGAGGCCAGAGCACAGGCCAAACCGCCCGCACAGCCTCCGCCCGTCCCGGCCAAGAAGAGCCGAGAGCGCCTGGCCAACGGACTCCACCCCGCCGCCGACGCGCCCAGCCTGCCGGCTAAGAAGGGCAGCCCCGGTGACTGTCCCTCCCCTCAGGCCTCTAGTTGCCCCTCAGGACAGGAGCCCGGCAGCCCGCCCAGCGCCAGACCACCGCCCTGGCTGTCAGAGCTCCCGGAGAGCGCGAGCCTCCAGGAGCACGGCGTCAAGCTGGGCCCGGCTCTGAGCAGGAAGGTCTCCTGCGCCCGGGGCCTCGACCTGGAGATGCTCACCGAAAACAAGCTACGAGCCGAGGGCATCGATCTCACCGAGGAGCCATATTCGGATAAGGTACCGAGGGCTCTGCAGGCCCCTGCTTTTTGTAGGTCGGGCAGCCAGGTGAGAAGAGGCCCCCGGGGCCTGGCCTGGCGGCGGGAGGCCTAGAAGCCTGAGCATGGCCTCTGCTGCCCGGCGCCGGGATGAACGGGAGCCGAGTCCAGATAAAACACAAATGCAGCCTTGGACTTTTCCGTTCTTGTCTCTATTTTTCCCCTCCTCTTTGGCTTACTTTTAATTTTTGGCAGCCGTACTTTGCAGGGAGAACAATCAGGGAGTACTAGAACTGGTTCCAGAAAAGGCCGGCTCAGTGGGCAGACCTGACGTGCAGTTTCCATGTCTCACTGAACGCTTATGTGTGTAGATGTCAACAAATCCCCATTTCCTGTTTGTTTGGGTTCTTTTAAAAGATTTTATTTATTTATACATGAGAGACAGAGAGAGAGAGGCAGAGATATAGGCAGAGGGAGAAGCAGGCTCCATGCAGGGAGCCCGACATGGGACTCGATCCTGAGACTCCTGGATCACACCGTGGGCCAAAGGCAGGCGCTAAACCACTGAGCCACCCAGGCGTCCCCTCATTTCCTGTTTGTAAAACAGGATTAATAATAACCTACATAACTACCTTCCTTAGGTATTATTAGGAGAAAATAAATTTGAAAATACTTTGAAAACTGTAGAACCCTTTTCAAACATAATTATATCATATAATTGTATGAGTAACGGGGGGAATGATTATATGAGCTATCCCACTGTACCAAAGACACTGAGAAAACTCATTTAAGCTCATATAATGAAAACTCCTTGCTTATTGGGGGGAAAAAAAGATCTAGAAATGTGTATTTTGTTATAATGCATTCCTGGGAGTCCCTGTTACAAAATTCTTTTGACCCTCCACCCTCTTCTCCTCCTCCTTGATATTGAGTGAAATAACCCTTTAGAATGGAAAGCAGTGAGAACCGCACTCTACAATAAACGGTGGCCTCGGGCCTGGAAGGATAAGACAGAGCGCAAACAGCAGACTACCTGTAGAGCACGAGTTTGCTCTTCTCCCCTGCGTTTAGGAGATGGTCTTCAGAACCACTGCGCAAAATGATCTGGTGAAGTGAGGGGAGGTCGCTGGCTCACATATACAAGACAACTGTGTTCTGCTTTACTTACATTTCAAAACCTTTTCCTAGAGCTCATCAGTACCTGAAAGATTAAAACATCAACATATTCTCTCCAAAACATCCATCTTGACTATAAATATATTAATTTCAAATGAAAACTTTTGGTGATACTTCCCAGTAGCTGCCTGTGTCTTATCCTACCTGCGGTTGCTGTTCTTAGAGATAGAATTCCTTGATGCCACGTTTCTCTTGTCCCCTGCAGCACGGCCGCTGTGGGATTCCCGAAGCCCTGGTGCAGAGATATGCAGAAGACTTAGATCAGCCCGAGAGGGACGTCGCCACCAACATGGACCAGATCCGCGTGAAGCTGCTTCGGAAGCAGCACCGCATGGCGGTGAGCAGCTGGCACCTGGGGTCTCCCCTTGCTCAGCTTCTGAAATCCATGTAGTTATAGCACTTATGATGAGGATACTGGCAACCGCTAAGTACCCGGGGTTTGTTTCAGCTATCAGGAGACACTAGAGGGAAAGTAATATTCAGCCTACAAAGTCTTAAAAATACAGTTTTGGCAAGAAAAAAATTAAAATTATCCATAATCCTAGCACTGGAAAGAAGTTAAAAAAAAAAATCTGGTCATTTCACTGCACCTACAATAGTAGATGTATAGTTTTGAAACCTGTTTTCAGTTATCAGATCATGGCTCTTTTACCAAACATTCTTTTATATTATCAATAGGTCAGAATGCTCTGGTAAATGTGCCCTTACTTAGCCAGTCCTATTTTTGAAACACTTAAGTTTTTCGCCAACTTATTATTTCAAAAAAGTTTAGTAAAGAACTCCCCTGTTAACATATAATAAAACTTTGTAGACTCCCAAGGTTAATTTCTGAGTATATATATTCCTTTAGGACGGTTTGCTTACAAAAGCCTGCACAAAATCTCAAGGATTTGCACCCTCGTTAGTAAACCATCTTCCTGAAAGATAAGCATTTGGTCTTCTCAGAAGTCGAGTGTAAATGTCCATTTCCCCGCCCTAGCCATCACTTGGTATTATTGTATTTTAATTTCTTTAGAACTACATTGATGAAGTATTTTATTTTCTGGTTAATGTAGATTCAAAGTACAATGGAAAATCTGTTTTATAAAGACTCTACTCACTGGGTATCTTACTTCCTACACTACTGCACAGGCCTGCCTCTTTAATCACCTAGGGATTTCCTTAGAGAGCATATCACCACACAAGACAAAAGAGCAGGTTATAGAAATACTTGAGTTTGGAGACTTGAAGACATAATTAGGGTTAGATCTAATTCCAAGTACTTTCTAGAACCTGAAAAACTTCCTTGAAGATGCGTCTCACCTTTGAGAAGCTGAGAAAGAATTCTAGATGCTACTCTTGGTCTTTGACATCTCATGGCATTGGCACTTCCTAATAGCCTGTCAATGTAGTATTTAAGTAGCATTCCTATTAGGAGTATAAGAAACCCTCCAGGGGCCTGTGTCAAGTCTTTAAAATTGCTTTCTTTATTTATCCAGATCCCAAGTGGTGGACTCACAGAAATCTGTAGAAAGCCCCTCTCTCCTGGATGCGTTTCGTCTGTGTCGGATTGGCTGGTTTCCATCGGTCTGCCCATGTACACCAGCGCCCTCACTGAAGCTGGGTTCAGCACACTGGGCCAAGTGCCTTCTCTGTCCCACACTTGCCTTCAGGAGGCCGGCATTACAGAGGAGAGACACATAAGCAAGCTCGTGTCTGCAGCCAGACTCTTCAAACTGCCCCCAGGCCCTGAGGCCATGTAGCCAGGCCCATAATGGAGCTCCCTGGACAAGAGCCACCCTTTCACTGTGCTTATGCTAATGCAAATCCTCCTCCTCGGGACATGCAGACCAGATCCAGAAGAAAGGCCTAGTGTATGGCCACACAGAGCACGAAACCTTGGCATAGGACTGATGACCCTCTCTTCTCCAGAAAGGCCCCCTCGAGGAAATTGGTGTGGTTCTCTTTGACCCCCAAAGAAAAGACAAGCACTTATTTTTATTTTCAGAACACAAAAGAACCAGGATGCCAACTTGCCACATATGCTGTGCCTCCAGTCCCGTCTTGGTGTGCTGGGAGAGGGCTGGGAGCAGAGGGAGGGGCAGCCTGTTTCGTTCCTGGTAACGCCCTTGCCCTTCCATCTGTCACCCTGCAGGATACCTGAGGGCCAGACGGGCTTTATCTAGGCCAAAGTAACAGACTCGGGAGTTATTGTACACTATTGACCATGCCTGTTTGTTCTAAAGTAAGAAAATCTGGCTGCACTAGGAAAAAAGAAAAAAAAAAAAAAAAGGCCTGTTCTCCTTTAAGTAAACAAGAGACATTTTAATAATTGCTTTCTAGCAATCAGCTTTTATTTGCCTTAATATAAGCTTTGAAGCAGTTATCTTAGTGTTCACTACCCTGTAACCATAGTTTCCAATCTTCAGCTTAGACTGCCATCTAACATGTGAGATGTTTTCAGCAAAAAAAAAAAAAAAATGGGCTTTTCTAATTGCCTCATTCTAACATGGCTTATTTTATAGGGGTGTTTATCAGGCACAAACTTCATGTTGGCTTTCAGTTTTTACACTAACTATAAATCCAGTAAAAAGCTATCTGAAATTCACAGAGATCAGGTGTGTATGTGGGTGTGCGTGCATGTGCGTGAGTGTGTGTGTGTATAGTAACTACCTTCATTTTAATCAGTTTAGTTTTGTTTACCATGTTGGTCATCGTGCTGCAGTATTGACTTGGATCCTGACCACGTCCATCCCAAAATTCAGTCATCAGTTAACAGGTCACCTTTGCAAAGTCATTGTAAGGTTGAATATTTCAGAAAGATCTTTTTAAAAGGGAAGTGATTTATAAGATGTTAAAAGGGTTTTCTTTTTTCACTTTTATAATTAAGTTTTCCTTCCTTTCATATTGAGATAATTCTTTAAATTTGGATAAAAGTTCATTTTGGAGCTAGATAAACTACATTACCCATGTATTAATAAGCATTTGCATATCTTCAGTTGTTTTCCAACTGACTGTAGCATTTCCCATCTTTTAGTCTGGGGTCTAATTTTTCTAGCACACAAATTTAGAAAACTAAATTAAGGTTTCTGTTGCTTACTAAATGAATTTCCTTTACATTCTTAATCATCAGAACTATTTTAAGCACTGAATGTGATCACTTACAATAGAAACACTTTGAACACAAAGCCTTGATCAAAAGCTCTTAAACACTCATTAAAATGATTTCCCTCAGTGCGGGCGGGGGGGGGGGGGGGGGGGGGTGTAATTTTATTCATTACAAAGCCATCTTCAGCATTTGCTCTATGTACTTGGATCCATGTTTCTGAGGGAAAAGATATGCTCAGGTGATCTATTTTTTCATGCTTTGGTACACATTTTAAAAATATGCTTCTTCAACAATATTCACCTTCTAGAAGATGCCATGTGAAGAAGTTGTGAAAATGCAGAAAAAGGTAAAGCTGCCAATTTTCTACTGAAATCTCTAAAATAGCCCATTTTTACCATCTTGGGTTGTGCACACAGCCCACATGGAATGTAGTGGCTGCAGGTCTCTCCTGTGACCACGCCGCTGAAACATATCTCTCATGCTGAGGTGGACGTGGGTGCGAGGCCACACACTCCTCCTGCTGCCCAGTGCCTTGGCATGACATTCTGCGATCCTGCTCATAGTTTAAACTTACCACACACAAGCCACACAGTAGATAATAAAGGAGGAGGAGAAATCTTATGTGTAGTTCCCAGTGTTCATTTATTTTCAGTGTAAGATTTTCTTTTCCATAAAAGTGGCGCCAGAAAAGGGAAAACTTTGGAGTTTTTGAGAATGCCAAATCATATTTTTGTCACTCTTCTTTGGAAGTCATTGCCTCTGCAGAGAAAAATCAAATTCAGGGACCATGAGTGATTTTCGGTGGGAAGATCGTCCTAATCTGAAAGGTCTTGAGGTTTTTACTTTATTGTTTTTAAAATACATATTTTTTTTCTTGTTAGTATTTGTTTGGTCTTCTTTTGCTTTAAACTTTAATTTGATCCTAGAAAAGCCTGAATGTTTGAGTGTGACATTTGACTAAGGTGGTTTAGGGGCCACCTGTCAGAAAGGCAGGTGTTAGGCATCAACAATACCCAGGTTTAATCAGTTGCACTTGATACAGAATGTGGAGGAAGGGTGAAAAGTGTTGTCTTTGGAAAGCACAAAAGAAACCTAGAAAGGCAGTTTGGCTCAGGTAGCTACACATCGGTTGTGTGTAATTTTTACTTTAAAGCTGTCTAGAAGGAAATGCAGCCAGCCCCAACCACTATTTACATTCCCAGATAACCGAGAAGCAGATACATTTTCATGGCCTTCCCTTCACAGCCCTTTTCTCTGTCCCGATCCCCGGTGTGGGTGAAATTGGAAATTACTAGTCTATGGCAAACCAGTTCCTGACATAGCAAAATTTGCTTTCATAACTGCAGCAAAAGAAATCAGTTCACCAAGTCAATGCTGCATGTGTGTACTGTATTATTTTCAGAAAATCTAGTAGTCTGAGTCCGAATTATCTTGATTTTAAATTGATAGAGAAAACAAACTGTCAAGCAAGTTATATAACAACTAACAACATTGCACTTTCTGTATATGAAATCAATATTTAAATAACTTATTTTTCTCCATTGCTGTTCTTAAACATTGTAAGTAGCTGTAATATACCAGTCCCAATATGTCCTTGCGATTGCTTCAGCCCAGGAAAGCTGTGTATTGTTTTAAAACTTGTAAAAATTATTGTGATGATTCACTTAGCAAAGAGAAAGGTGGACAGAAGGGTTTTCCTATGTATCAAAACTTGTCTATAATTATGTCCTCTATGTACCTAGAAAAAAAATAAATTTCTTCAGTTGACTATGCCTTTTTGTTGTTCCTTGGTATGAACGGAGTAGAAAGGAAACATAATTTACAAAGTGTATACGCACAGTTGTATTTAGTTACTTTGCCACATCACCAAAACTATCTGACATACACTCGTTCTCTTTGCCAATTTGGTTCCCCCCTCCCCCCAGATATTGCATAATCAGATCCTGTAACCACAGCATCTTAGACCAGAAGGAACTTCAGAAGTCATCTGTAGCCTAAGCCCATCATTTTCAAATGAAGTGGCTTGAGTTCACGTCGGTGGTTGACTCGCCCGGTATTCTACAGTTAAATGATAACAAAACCCAAACCTTTCATTGAGACACACACACACAAAAAAATCTAGGTTGGGATATTATAGGAATTGATTGACCTGACAATTTTTCAATGTTGGTGTACCCACAATTGATATAAAAACATGCTGTTTTAATTAGGAGGGACTGTGTAATAAAAATTTTGATTAGGTAATACCCATACTTGAGATTTAAAAAAAAAAAAAATCACCCTCTCTCTTCCTCCCAGCCACCTATTCCGGTCATTGCAGGTGAGTAATAGAACTGTCTTTGCCAATCTTTTTAGAACTGCTCCATATATTTACAAATATAACTGCTTATGTATTTTTCCATACAAGAATGATGACCTATTCTTCACACTTCTTCACCTTGATTTTACATTCAGTGTATCTTGGAGATCTTTCCATGTTGTGACTCCTCCATTCTCTTAAAGGCTGCATAACATGGTTATGCCAATAATTTAATCACCACTCGGTGAGAGGACAGTATCTTGCAGTTACAAAAAAACGCTGTTAGGGGATCCCTGGGTGGCGCAGCGGTTTGGCGCCTGCCTTTGGCCCAGGGCGCGATCCTGGAGACCCGGGATCGAATCCCACGTCAGGCTCCCTGTGCATGGAGCCTGCTTCTCCCTCTGCCTGTGTCTCTGCCTCTCTCTCTCTCTGTATGACTATCGTAAAAATAAAAAAAAACGCTGTTAGGAATACCCTTGTACCTACATCACTTAGCATGCAGAATTGTGTTAAAAGTACATGTATTTTAGGTTTTGATGGAATATTTTAAATCCACTGGTGGATTTCATTAGAGGAAACTACCATGATAGGTTTTGTTTATAAATCACTGTCTTACTCTCCTCCTAATCCATTTTGGGGTATTTCACACATCGTTAGTGTGGGGGTTCATGTGAAATGCTGCATTGTGTTAAAGAACTAGTCATAAGCCTCCAATCTTATCTCAAACTGACTCCTAAGATTTAACAGATCAATTCAAAGAAGATACTTCTTTATGATTCCTAAGAATCGCTGACCCCACTCTTGGCCTTAAGTGTTTGTTCTAGGGACACTTCATGTATGGACACTTACGTTGCATTCTCTTAGAGGTTACAGAGCACATTTGATTAGGGAATGGGGAAAACAGAAGGGTGGTTGTCATTCTTTAACCACATGTGCCATTTGGGAGACCTCAGAATGATGGCTTTCTTACTCCTAGCTAAGAAGACCCACAGCACCCTGTACCTAGTCCTTGGAGGATGTGCATGTGTGTGTGAGAGACAGGATGCATGCTCGCTCAAGTGTAGGTCTGGTCTTCTCATCAGGACTGTGGGCAGCCTTATTTGCAAGCATTCCCCTCACACAGCGCCCCTCCAACACTACACCAGGTGCTAAGAGCACTAGACACTTAGAGCGTCTTGAAAAGCACGAGAAAATAACTGAGAGACTGCCCTCCAAATCCTGCTGCAGCCATTGCCACAACCATGATTCCCAAACGAAAGAAGCAGAATCAGCAGGAGCCCCCGCTGCCAGAGCAGGAGGAGACCGGAGACAGGAGGATGGGAGTCCCATCGGACTACCCAGCCTTCTGGGCCCTCCCCCCGTGGCCAGTGGAAAGCCTGGTGACCCCAAGTCAGCCCCAAACTGGAATCCACCCCCATGTCCACCATCAGTCGAGTGGATAAGTTGTGTGTGCATGCAACGGGATGCTATGTGGCAATGAAAACGAACGAACTCCTGCTACAGGCAACCTGGATGAATCTCACAAAGACGGTGTTGAGTGAAAGGAGCCAGACAAACAGGAATGCAGACTCTCTTCACAGAGGTCCTCCAGGGTCAAGGGGACCAAGGACTCCACCACTGCTGAGCCTCCCACCTCCTCCCCCTCCTCCCAGGGGCAGAGGCCTGATCCAGGGAGGCGGCCCAGATGGTCGTGGCTGGTGGGGGGGCCAATACTGAACCTCCTTTTCCTGGACCGGGCCATGGGGGTCCTTCCAGAGGAGGCTTTCATAAAGAGCAGAGAAAACCCCAAAGGCTCAAAAGTTGGTCTCTTATCAAAAATACCTGCCCACCCAACAATGGCCCCCAAGTTATGGAAGACAAATCCAACTGCCCTGTCTGCCGACACTGCCAAAAAGGACCACTGTCGATATGAGGACCTCTGTGCCTTCTACCACCCAGGTGCCCATGGACCTCCTCTATGAGACCGTGCCCTCCCTCTGGGCTGAAAGAAGCCCTCTGACCTAGCAGCCATATTGCCCTGTGGGCCTGTGACGGCTACTGTGAGGCTGTTCTGCCCACCACCCTCAATCAGTGACACCCACCTCCATCTGCCACCTCCCCCATCTGGGGTCCAGAGTTGTGTTTCATCACTGGTGCCCAGAGAGTGGGCTTTCTTCTGATCCAGCCTCCAGAGACTCGCCTTCAGGACCCCACCTCTGCTCTCTTCAACTGCCTCCTGGATCCTCTTCCCCTTCACCAACTCACTGCTGAACAGGAAACCTCTTTGGTGCTGTTTCTTGTGCATCTGTCCACCCAGCCCTCAGTACTGCCCTCGATTCGTACGAGCCCTGGAGCAGTTTCCTACCATTCCCTTCTTCTAGATGCTGGTTTTAAATCATTTTTATGTGACAAACCCTACCCCCAGAGCTGCCAGTTGATCTGGGGTCAAGTATGGATGACTGGTGCAGAGATACTCCCTGGAAGGCCACCCTCCCAGCTTTTGGATTGTGTAGGTTCTGCGTCAGTAGCGTGATCCCCACCACTCTGGTCTGTGATCACTGTGCTTTGTGAAACTGTGCATCCCCTCGTACACAGCCTTTCTCAGTGTCCGTGGCATCACTGTGACTTCCCAACACTAGAGTAAGTTTTTCTGCCAAAATGAGTGAGGCTCTTGATGCCCTCTAGACTTTCCACACCTCCCAACATGGGAGAATTGTGAAACTTTCTGCAAGACTGCCTCCCTGGTCTCCCCATTCTCCTGGTGTTGGCTTTTCTGGGTTTGACACAAGCCCATGAGATGTCCTCTAAAGCCTCTTATGGGCTATCCTATCTCCTCTCCAGCCCACTTTAGTTGGAG